AATTTTATGTCATCTTTGTCAACAATTATATTTTTTTTGTTTCATGTTTTCCTCATCTGGTGTGTCCTTTTTTCTTGTTTCTAATTCTCTCTTTATTTCCCAAAATCTACTGTTTTTCATGTGACCAAATTTTTCATTTCCGGAAACCTTCCAATGCCGTGTTTTTTTTTCATTTCTTAAAACCTACTATTCTGAGATGCTTATTTATTCCATTTATGAAAATCTACCAATCTTGCACCTAATTCATTTTTATTTCCTGTAACATACTATCCCCATTTACCTTTTTTCTCCATTTCTGAAAATCTACCAATCTTGTACCTAATTCATTTCTATTTCCTTAAACCTACTATTCTCATTTACCATCATCGGCACATTTTTTTTGGTCCAGAACATCCATTGTTGTTGTCGTGAGTGCAGTTAAATTTTTCATTGATTCATACCAATGATTTTCCAACCCTGTTAACACCAAAATAATTGTCACCTGTCTCAACACCATGTCTTCTCGATACACACTGAGGAAATACCACCCGATGTCTCTGGATTGCTACAGGAATAATGCTCCTTCCTTCAAATCAGAGTACATTTCTGGACATAAATTGCATAATCTACAAAAAGACATTCAGTCCCGCCATGCTTTCAACACATGGGGTATGTTGTTGGTAACACAAAGACAAAATTACAGCAACAAAACCCAAATTTTCCACTGCAGCTGCTGCAACACAAAGGTCACAGTTGTTGTCAACAATTCCCTTGGCTGTTGGCTTATTAAAAAATCCAAAATACCACACTCAGTGTATCTTTTGCAAAACACATACAAGCCTTCTGTTAATTCAACAGATATAATCATTCATTACCCCCCATTCCAACAGCATGCTGAGGAGTTGTACAATAAGCATCCAGACATAACAAAGCACAACTCCTGCCAGGTGCCAATTTAAAAAAACAATGGTTTCCTAGACTGGGTTGAATGAAATGGGGTTCTCTGTCAAGGACAATTGTTCATCTTTCATTGCAATCAGCAAGGCAAACAAGAACAAAATTTTTGCATATGTAAAAACACGCCAATCCTCAAACTATGATTACATKGCACGTTGGCTACAGTGCTTTGTGAAATCAAACCCATGTACAACCGTTGCACTTCAAACAGACAATAACAACTTTTTTAAAATGTTTCCTTGCTAATCCAGTTGCTTTGGAACAATTTTTTGGAACCTTGACGATGCCCATCTTCATTGGAAATTGTTATCATTACAAGAATGAACATTGATGGTGTTTGTTTCAATCTTGTTACAAAAACTCAGTATGGTGGATTGCTTCCCCTTGCCTGGGCTATTATACCATGTGAAAACATATTACATCTTTCATGGGTTATCCAGATGTGCTGGAAGCACAGTCTCCCTGATTGTGATATCTTCTTCCTTCAGCTTCTGCATTTGAGCTTCATCAGAGTCCCTCCAGGAAGGCTCTGAAGGAGGGAGATTCCTGACTTGCATCCACATACCAAATAGTACACTGTCTTTCTCTGCAGGGATCTTCTTCTGTTGTTTCCACTGGCACAACAGTTTGAGTGTTGCTGACACTGAAAGTGACTTGGCATCTTCCTCCTTGTACACATCTTTCCCCTTTGATACCAATTCAACACACTAACTGCATGGGATTTCTTCTTCACTGTTTCTACTAGCTCCTTACCAAGCTGTTGTTGCCTTCTTCTTTCTTCTGCAATGAAGTAGTCATCACTGTTTAGTGTGTTGCCTTTGGTCCTAATAAAATGCTCACTAGAGTATTTTATAGTTCCAATTATGTTGTAGATGCTGGTGATAGCCTTAGGGCATACCCTTGGTAAAAATCTCTATTATATCCAGCATCATTAAGTACTTGGATTGCTGTATCATTCACTTGTACCCATTCAACAAGCTCAGCCGTCTTAGGATCAGCATCAATATCAATGCTACTACTGTCTGGCAGCATAATTATTTCATGAGCAACTTTCTGGTTGTCAAGGCATCATCTCTTAAAAGGCGCAATCCCAATCTTGGCCCGTACTGCCTTTGTCTTCTCAACTGCAAAGGCTTTGTGAAAGTTCTACAGGTTCATACCAATTGTTTTGCTTTCCAAAGATGAGCAGGGGAAAATCAGTCTGCTGGACCTTTTCCCCATTTTTTTGTTGGTGCAACACAAGCTTTTCTAAATTTTGTCTGTACATTGATTTGAACGGTCCATAGTTTCTGTTTGGTGGTTGTGTCACACATGTTGTGTTGGACACACCAGGAAGAAGATAAAAGCCTTTTTCACGGAGCGTCACCAGCAACCCTTTGTATTTTCTTCCTGGACCGCTATCCAAAATTAAAAGGACTTGCCATCCTGGGATATCAGCTTCATCTGGAAATGACAGCTTCATCACATTGTCTTCAATATATTTCAAAAATTGTTCAGCGTTCATTCCAGCACTTTTGTTGCAGTTGAGGGTAATACCATTTTCAACTCATCCAATGCAACCATAGACACCCTCTGTTTTTGGGACACTGGCAATAAAAGCTGCATGGATTCACTTGTCATCTTCTTCCTTTGCTGTCATCTTCAGTTGAAAGTGTGGGACAAGAGGAAATCCAGCTGCGTTGCTTCCAGCAACAAGAGTGATTTGGGAGCTGCTCTTGTTTGTGCGATTGGCACCACAGGCAATGTTCTTGCTTGCAGGCCCGTACCTAGTGGTTGCTCAACCTCCTGCAAGAAAGGAGCAGCTGTCTAAAGTCAAACCACTCTTGTCAAGATTTACAATTTGATTCAACTGGTTTGGAAGGAACACAAGTCTATTCCATCCATTCTAACTTGAGCAAATCCAAGGTCAACAAGCTTTTTTCACAAAGTGAATCAAAGAAGGTGTTAATCTTATCATACATTATCCATTGCGCACGTCTTTCTGTCATCTTAGAATTATCCATGATGATACTAACTTTATGGCAAACAACTTTGTACAATCATTTGAACAGCAAATGCTGGTCTTGCAGCACCGTTGGTCAACTTTCAAGGCATACAACTAGCATTTGGAGTAGTTGTGGGTTTCTAGGTTGATTGTTCATATCTGAACAGCTGACAACACAGAAGTCACTGCATTAATAAAAGCTGTTTTGATCTTTTCAGGAAGAGCCGCCTTTTGCCCCTGTTTAGGGGGGAGGGTATCTTCCAAGCCTAACCACAGCCATCTCCACACAGTATCTGCCTTTAGATTTGCCTGATAAATCATATTCGTCTCTCTTACAATTTTTGCAATAGACATATGCAATTGCTTAGGCAAATTTGCTTGTTGGTGCTTCACCTTTGAAATTACTGCCTTAAGCCTTCTTTTCAACCTCAGCCTCCTGTGATACTGGAGACCTTTGTTGGTGGCAATGGTGGAGCAACATACTCACAGGGCAGCACCTTGATTCTTTCAGAGCATCTTTGTATTCTTCTTTGAACTGTTCTGTTGCTTGCCTCCTCAGCCAAGAAGCCTGCAAATTCCATACTAGCTCTTCTCACAGTGCACTGCAACCCCTGATTCCTCATGGTGAATAGGTTTGTACCAGCAACTAGAGTCCTAGGGCAAGGCACAATTGCATATCCATTTCAAACAGATCCAGTGGCTGGTGTGTTGATGGTGGTGTTTGTTTGTTGTTGTTGTTGTTGTTGTTGTTGTTGTTGTTGTTGTTGTTGTTGCTGCTGCTGCTGCTGCTGCTCATGGTCAAAAATGCAGCAAAAAACTGTTTTTTTCCAAAATACTCAGAGATTGATCCAAGACTTCCGGATCCCCTTCCCCTTATTGTAATGAATGGAATAAAGCACTTGTTTGATTTGTAGGAAGGAATTGATGTCTTTGTTTTGCTGTTACACTGCAGCTTTTTGTTGTTGCGATTTTGCAATTTTTGTCATTTTTTTGCTGTTGCTTAGATCTCCTGTTCTTGTTTCTAAACCAGTTGGTCAATCAATCTGAGACTTCTGGATCCCCTGTCCTTCTTGTTAGAATGAAAGGATCCTGTACATCAATTACGTTGTTATTGGAGGCTAAGGTGTTGAACTGGGGGAGTGACAGGTCCCTACTATGCTGGAGGTTGTTCTTGTGTTAACGATTTTTTCGGAAAATTCTGTGCGCAGAGAAATCAAGAAGCTGGAAAAGGTTCTCTGGCAAGAAACCCATACAATATGCACATGTATGGAAAGACAAGAGAATACCCTTTCTGGCAAATGGATTCTTTAATTCTGATTGGTGCTTTGCTAGCATTAACAAGCAAGCAAAGCTTTAGCTGATTACTAAATATGGCTCGCAAAATTTTGATTCATAATCTGTTATAAATCGGACGCGATACATCACACCACAACCTTGTACGTACCGTACCATACGTATTCACCGGTACCAGTTGCGTTAGTTTCGGCCTTGATACCTCCTCATGGAAAAATATTCTACTGCAGGGGTCATACAGAAATTTTCTGTACCGTACGGTGCACACTGGACAAAGTTATGAACATGTACCTTATGGTTGTACGTAGGTACGGTACTTCTATTCTTCTACTTTAGTGAACTCGTAGCTTCACCGACGTACGAATTACGGTTACTGGACTTTAGGTAGTGCTCGTAGTACGAATTAGTAGGCATCAATTCAAAATTCTCTTCTAATAGCGTGCCGACGCGATCCGAATACTTTCCGTTAAGTGATTGAAAATTATAATAATTGCGATTTGTTTTTAATCATCTTTGTATAGGCTCTAATCGAGTAGCCATATACCAAAGAACAAGACATTTATTTCTTATGATTGTAGGTGTCAGTGCCTTCGATACTAAGGGATGATTGGAGGGAGACGTCAGATGGATCAATCAATTCGGGAAGACACGTGCATGTCACGTGCAAATTTTACTTCGCCGAAAGAAAAAAGAGAAGCAGAGCTTCAAAAGCGTGCTCATTTTGGAGCAGGAACCGGGGGAACATCCATAGAATTATCTTACAGCCAGGACGAATTTATGGAACGAACATGGTCAAAATCTGAATCCACGAAAACAATTTTAAACGAGTACTAAAACACATCATCAGGTATTTTGTTCTTGTTTTTGTTCTTTAGACAACCTTCGAATTGTAAGATAAAAAAAAACATGGAATCGGCAAGTCGCGAGGAAGACGGAGTATGGATCGTAGTTGAAGATCAGGACCTCGAACTCGATGGTATGACTCTAGTCGCAGATAGGGAATCTGGAGATATCGTAGGCTTGTCATCCCGGAGCTGTAGTAACGAACAAAAACGGAGCTCGATGCCTTCATTGAAGGACCACCCAAACTTGAAAGTAGTTGATTTGCACAACTATCGGTACATGAGACACCTTCATGAATCCGTCTGTGAATTGCCAGATTTACGAAGGCTAACGTTAACGAGATGTGACCTCCTACAGAAATTACCTGCTTCTATCGGGAGACTGGATCAGTTAATAGAGGTTAGTCAGTTTCCCATTCATTTTCTCGATTGAATAGGACCCGTGCATCAGTTTTCTAATTCATCGCTCCATATGAAATGCGCTTTATTCTGTAGCTTGATCTCTTTGACTCTTTTCAGTTGGCGGAGCTTCCCGAAGAAATTTCTGGATGCCGAAGGTAGGTCCATTCTTCCGTGTGCATCACGAATGGAAATTTCGAAGTGTTCTGCAACGCTCCTAGTAATCGATTACTTACAACGGTGTGCTTGATTCGGGATTCATCATCTTCACATGCGTACGTACGTATTTCTGATTCTAAGTTTGAAGCGATTGCGGCTCGGGGGATCGCCAGGTGTTGCCAACAAGAGCCTTCAGCGGCTCCCAGAATCTTTAGGGAATCTTTTTTGTCTCGAGGATCTGCAGCTTGATAAATGCAAGCGTTTAAAGACTCTCCCTTCCTCACTAGGAGGTCTCAGCAACTTGCTTAGATTATCTCTCAGGGAATGCAAAGAGCTAAAGTTTCTGCCTCCCACAATTGTCAGATGTACAAAACTAGTAGAACTCAACCTTCTCAAGTGCATTTCGTTAAAGGCGCTGCCACCAGATATTGGCGGACTGAGGCATCTTGAAGATCTCAACATGATGAAATGCAAAGCCATGAAACAAATTCCTCCTAGCATTGGGGCTTGTGAGTACTTGTCCTTTCTTGATTTGAGAAATTGCAAGAGTCTTACGGAACTTCCGGATGAGCTTGGAAGTCTTAGTCGATTACGAATATTGTATTTAAGTGGCTGTACCGGTCTTTTGGAAATACCAGATCTGATAGGAGACTTACCGAGGTTAGAAAAACTCGAATTTGACTCATGTACTTCGTTGGAGTCGATTCCAGCATCGTGCTCTAGGTTTCTGGAGGAAGATAGAGCAGTATAGGTAATATGACACCGGTGGAAACCTCACGATAGGAGAAAACATCGTGACACTTAGTTTACATATTGGATAAGATCTCCGAATAAGCAACAAATGAAAATTGCCATAATAACCTTATTATTCATCTGAAACCTTATATTGATTTATTTCTGATTGTCAGAACCTTGATAGAAGCACGTGACAGTGCCGAGTTACTGTAAAGTCAGTAAAGAAAGCACGTCAAGCTTCACATATTTCGAACTCTTTTCCTTTCAGATTGATCTCGTCCTTCTTGCTACCTTCAATATCGTTGGGGCATTCGCCAGAGCAGCCGCTATCAGATGGTTCTCTGGTATCTTCGTGGATAGACAAGTTCTCATTTGCGCCATCTTCCTTTATTTCTTCTATAGTATTTTCTATATCGGCCGATCGACTGGCTGCGGCTTCGTCGCTTAACTCACTTGATGGCTTCATGCACATTTTGTATTTGAAATAGTGCAGAGCCAGGCTAAATGCCATCCAAATCCAGAAGCAGCACACTTGCAGCACGGTCCTTGTATCGCTGTAACCAAAGGGTTTGAAAATGGTCATCGGAAGACGGTCTATTGACCAGAAGTCACCATGAAGTTCGTAAACGGTTTTGGTCTTCCCATAAACCTTTTCGAAATTGGTACATCCGCCAGTGAAGAGCCCTGTAGAGAGCAAAAGAAACAGACCTACTGTAAATATTGTCAACGCCTTCGTGCTTTTGAAGTAATGGTTTGCATAGTAAATGGATACGCAAATGATTCCACCCACCAGAACACCGACTACAGCACTCAGAGGAATAGCAAGTATACCCTCTCCGGTTAGAAAGGATGGGATTAGAAAGACCCCACATTCGGCGACCTCGCGCCAAATGTTCCAAGCCACATTGAATCGAATGGATCGTAGCGACATGCCCTGCGAGTCCATTGTTTCGTCAAGCGGTTCATTGTTCTTGATTTTCTTCAACTGAGCTTTGCTGTAGTAGAGACCGAAGAATTTTGGCATTTTCAGGGACAGCTGAAGAAGACAGATTGCCGCCACGATCTTGCTGACCCCTTCGATTATCTTGGCCGTGCTGGGTTCAAAATCTAAGGACAGTATAGCAAGTGGAATAGCGATGGCCGCACAGACGATAATCGCAACAAGTGCAGCCAAAAGAGCCGACACGGACACCGCTCTGAGGGCTACTTGCTGCGTGATAGCCGAGTTTTCCCAATTCGACCGCATGATCACCGTCCGATATTCACCAATAATGATCCCGCCCTCAAGAGTTTCTCTCGCAAAGATGGTGATCACAGCAAAATCGAGTAATGCTTGTGACGACACCATATTTATATTTTATACGCGATACTTTGCTAATGTTGCAGCTGTTGGTATCCTACTGTTTTAATTTCAGCTTTGGATTTGCTCCCCCACGATGTTTTTAGTCTTAACGGTATCGAAGTAGACCTGATACAGCCGGTCTCGCTGGATTAGTCCTATCGATATAGCACTTGAGCCAACAGAAAAAATGGGGCGAAAGACCGGTGTGAATTTCTGTCAACAGGAATGTCTAAATGTAATACACCTTGGATAGTGGTTACTGTGGAACAATATTCTGCAAGGTATCTCGAGAGAGATTACATCCACTTTTGTTGCCTTTTGGAAGAAAGCTTCGTTATGAGGAGAAGCGCATGCTTCTTACACGGGATGCTCCTAAAAATGCCTCTGATTCTTGATCGTTCTTAGAGCTCTTGAAGTGTCGCAAGGTCATGTCTGTGTCACAAGTATTTTTCGCTGTGAAAATCTACAGGGACTTATACAGGTACAACATGGACACGTGCATAATTAGTAATAAACTACAAATGCGCACCTTAAAGTCCGAGTATGGTGGGGGAGAAAACTCATGGTTTTCGAATCCCCTCTGTGCTTCCGAGACACGTGCCTGGACGGATTCGATGCCGGTAAACTCAATACGACTTGAGGAAACATATTATCATATTACAGCATTCCAAAAACGTTTTTGGTATCCTACCTGGACGAATGGTACAAATTAGACGCAAAAACGATTTTATTTATCACAAAATTCGTATGACATTTACAGTACACTATTTAAAAATTAACATTGTTTCGGACCACCCACCAAGCCCCGTACCATACTGTACAAGACATCAATTTTTAAAAACAATACTGTATTTTTAAAAACCAAATAACATTGGAAAAACAATTGATTTTGATACTGTCATGCGGACAAGTGAATTACGCGCGATAATTGAGATACGTGTAGTAAATTTCATATGTTAGGACGTTCTTTGCCGTACCTAAAGTAGACCATCCCGGACAGCCGACAAGAGTGCGTACGTACCAGGGGCAACTTTCTTTTACTCGGTCCGAATTAAGACGTGACAGCTTTTTAATGGTACAAGGTAGGAAGGCAAATGCGTGGACCGAATGTGAGACAGGTTATAATTCCAAAAAAAACGCTCAGTTTTTCTAGTAAAAAAAAAACAGCATGAGGGTTGTCTCACCCTCCAGACAGAGCTATTAGGAACACTTCCACTCCACAAATGTACTACTTGCACTGGAATAACTTCATTATAATCATACAAAGAAGGGGATCCAGAATTCTCAGAATGATCAGCCTAGTGGTTTTTTCTTTAGAGCCCTCAGTATCCCCAAGGTGTGTAGAATCCTATGTACAAATTAGTACTACCAAATATTTCGATATAAAAATACTTAATGGTTTTTTTAAAAGTGAGACAGCAGGTTCATGTTGTGAAGGCAAATGAGGTGTATTGTTCCCTCCCTAGAGCTGTGTACAATTTGTACTGACTCCGGACCTGTCACCCACACATTCGCCTTCGTTCCTCATAGGGATTCTACAGGACTCTACGTGTGGAACAATAGTCTTAATTCAGACCACAACAGGCAGTGTGTTTGTGTTTGTTTTTATCATAAATAGTTTGTGTGGTATTTTTGATGAGAGTGCAAAGCAGGCAGGCATGATGTAATGGTTGTACTTCTTCCAATATTCCATGAGCAAAAGATTGCCTTGAGTAGGACAAGTTGTGACTGACATTGAAGGTGATTCAATGAGTAGCAGGTGTGTATTACAAATGATGGATTTGAGAGCTTTATAATCTTGGTCATTGTAGAGTTCAATGATGTGTTGATACTTGTCATTAGAGGAAAATAGGGCGCGGATGACATCTCAGATGATTTGTGAATCAGTGTTGATTTTGGTTTTAACTGTTGGATTTAGGTCATCTTTTGTGTCCAGTCCAAGCATGAAACCCTGTGGATGATTATGGCACATTTGCTGGGGTGGCAAGGGTAGGGATGACAATATTTTCAAAATCTAGAGTTTGTTTGCCGTGTTGCCATTGAATTTATTTGCAGTAGTGCAAAATTTCTTTTTGCTTTGTGGACTGAGGTCAACAAGGATGAAGGAGGAACCATCCCATGTTATAAAACTAGTGTATGAACCATCTTGTGTTACAAAAGCAGTTGAAGGGTTTTGTGGATCTTTGTGGTACTGACATATTGTTGCATTAGGCATGACAGATGTGTCAACAATGTCTAAAAGGGTGTTTTCAGCATGGTATTTATACTGAGTCATGTTGAGGTTGCAACAATCTCTAACTTGTTGTGGATAGTTCATTGGTACAAAGGGTGTGACAGTCAGACTGTAGGTCTTGGCTTTAGGTGCAAGGTGTTTGATCATCTGAGCCTGTTGTTGCATCATGTTTTAATTCTTAGTAAAGAGTTGGAGGACTGCTGTGTAAAGTCGTTGCAGGGTTTGGGGCATCTTGGGGGTTTTGTGCACCTAGGGGGGGGGGGGGGGGGGCAGGAAAGATGCCAAAGTTGTACATGTCATAAGGATGATAATTGAATGCATCAATGGAGATGGCTGACCAGTTGACTTTGAGGATGAAAGTGGTTTGCTTGGTTTTTTGGCATAGAGAAGGCAATGCTCCAGGACATGAGTGTTGTTGATGTGTTTGAGGTTCTGTTTGTTGCAGTCAGGAGGTACAATTGGCTCTTGATGAGGTAGGTGATAGGAGTAATATCTGTGGTGTTGAATGCTTTCTTTTTTATATGCACAATGAGTTTATCAACCATCATTTCTGTTGTTCAGTGTTGGTCAAGGAAGGCACAACCATCTGGAGAGAGGAGTTCACTTTGTGGTCCAAAAAGATGGTATCAACGTCTAACATCTTGGGGGGAAAAGAACAGGCAGCAGTCCCAGTGCATGGGGTTGGAAGGTTTGGAGCCATGGTGGGACAGGGAGCTGAAAGTCAGGAGCAGTTAGACTATTAAGAAGGTAAAAGTATTTTGATTTAAATCAAAACATGTTTTATGAGGTAAGACTGGATGATGTTTGTCAAGTAGTTTATTGTTGTTGTGAGAGAGGAACAGGTGGTTTTCATGAGAAGCTTAGAAATCATTTCAAAAATCTTTACAGCAATGTGGGATGGTCTTCTATTTCTAATTGTAATGGTCATGGTTTTCTTGATTGTGGGGATCAGAAAACAAGTGCATGTGAGCGTGCGGATTTAAATTTGTATTGGTTGTATAAAAGCCATATGTTTTGAAAAATTATAATGTGAGTGCTGTATCAAGATTTTAGATTTTGAAAGAATGGTGGAATATTCGAAAGTTGACAATAGCAAATGTCAATCAAGAAGCAAAATGAGGTATCGTATAGGCTGGGCCAAGCAAAAAAAGAGGCACCAGTCGTACATTAGCAATTCAATATATACGTAAACGAATATCAGTCAATATTCGTCGTACGCCGTACTCCCCCACGCCATTAGAAAGCTCTTTGAATTCTCKTTTTAACCATGTGCTTATCATACTTAAGCGTCCGTTGGGGAAAAAGTTATGGCTGTTCGAGTGAGTTGAACCTCTCTTAATGCCCTACGTGTTTTTGTACTGTGCGTGGATTTTGGGCCATCTAATTACCGTGTAATGACTCGTGGGATTAAAATTTGACTTGTACCAGGGCTACATCGTGCACATGCGAGCGAAACTATTTTCATGTGCAAGCAAAACTATTTTGGTGGGATTCAAAAATTTGATTACGTATTGGTGGGATTCAAAAATTCGATTACGTATTGGTGGGATTCAAAAATTCGATTACGTACTGAGCACGTCGATTTCTATGTGTGTTCTTACACGGGAAAAAGATGGCCCAAAATGTACGACTGGGACCGTACATTAGCTGGCCAAACCTATACGATACTTGCAGTGAGTGATTGTTGATATTTAGAGTGTAGTTGTTGCGGTGTGTGCAATGATGGTTTGTTCGTAAAAAGGCTTGTGGGCAATTGTACATGGCAGAGTTGTGTGAGGAAAGCACACCTAAAAAATTGTCATGGTGATGATGATTTTTATCAAAAGAAGGGTGTAATAACCAGTGGGAATTACTATCTAATAGTGATGTAAATTGAGTGCTAGAAGAAAAGTGAGTCAATCCTCTTATTGAGAATTGGCAACTTATAAAGTCTAAGATCCATCAAAGTGAGAATTGAGTGATGTGTGTGAATTGAATAAGTCAAGTCAATCGTGAGGATCCATAGGATCAAATGAGTTGTGAATGTAGATTTTGTATGAATCATATATATGTATCATAGATATGAATCATATCTACAATATGATGATGTACAGACAGCACCCTCCACACACAAAAGCTGCGGAGTCACTAAATATTTCTATTGGTCCTTACTACTCAAGAGGTAATGTCATTGCTTACTACTTGAGAATTTCAATGAGTGCTTACTGCTGGAAAACCTCTAGCTATTAGTGCTTACTAGTGGGGATGTAGTAATAGTAGTGAACACTGCAAACTGCTGGGTAAGGGGGTTCTGTTCTGGCAAATAGAACCTCCTTACTACCCAGCTGTTGGCAGTGCTCACTAGTATAGCATTCCCACTAGTAAGCTTTAATAGAGTTTTTCTAGTAGTAAGCAATAATATTAATTCTCAGGAAGTAATCAAATTCCCTCTCCAGTAGTAAGGATCACCCACTAATAGAATATTTTTGGACCACCAGTGAATTAAATAATTTGAAACATTTTTTTGACTGTAAAAATAAATTTTGATTCACACCAGTAGAAATATTGCGGAACAAAATATCTCAGGTGTCTGGTGTTAAGTCCAGATCTTCTAAATAGACACCAGGGATGTTTCATTTGACAACAATTTATCTTTTTTTCATTCTCCCATCTCCATGTCCTCTCCCCACCCACCCAAATATTTCTATTAGTGGTCCTTACTACTGGAGAGGTAAATTTATTGCTTAATACTAAAGAATTACTATTACTACTAGTAATGCTTACTACTACTGGAAAATCTCTATTACTAGTACTACTTACTAGTAGTAGAGGGGACATCATAGTAGTGAGCACTGCAAACTGCTGGTACAGTCAGAGAAGTAATAGAGGTTTTCTGGTAGTAAGCACTAATAGTAATTCTCAAGAAGTAAGCAGTGAATTAAGCTCTCCAGTAGTAAGGACCATAATACTAGAAATATTTAGAGACTGCCAATAAATTAATTAATTTGAAACAATTTTTTAAGTGTAAAAATGATCCTGACAATTTTGTGCGGGTTTGTGTGGGGACCATCAAAATCCAGTCAGAATTTTGTTCTCCAGTAGAAAATCATGGGCGGAAATGTCTCTTGTGTCTGTTTACAGCACCTGTCACAATCATGAGTAGATAGTGAATAACCAGAAGGACTAAAGGGAGAGCCCAGTTGTTTCATTTGACAATATTTCTCCTACTGCTGGGAATCAAAATTCTGCCTGTTTTTTATGGTCCCCACACAGAGAACCACAGAATGTTAGGGTCATTTTTTCAGTTGAAAAAAATTGTTTCAAATTATTTAATTAAGTTGCTGGTCCCAAAATATTTCTATTAGTGGTCCTTAGTACTACCAGCACTAGCTAGTACTGGTGGTGGAGAGATAATTCTTTCTTCTCGCAGCATCAACAAAACTGCTAATACAGCAGTTTGCAGTGCTCACTACTACAACAACATCCCCACTAGTAAGCAGTAATGGAGGTTGTCCAGTAGTAAGCGCTATTGGTAATTCTCAACTAGTAAGCAATGAAATTACCTCTCCAGCAGTAGTAAGGACCAATAACAAATATTTTATATTTTTGCACGACACTTTTTGTGTGTGGAGGGGGGGGAGAGGGGAGAATAAAAAATTGTCAAACGTAACATCTGAGCTCTCCCTTTAGTCATTACTATGTGTTTCGTAACAATTGAAACCGGCCTTGAAAGAGAGCAAAAAGTAATAATTTCAAGTTCTTAACTTTGATTTGACGTTGTGAGCTTTTGCTTGTACATCATGTACCAGGTTCTCCTGAGCTAGTTTTTTTAAATGACTGCTGAATGGCTGAATGGATTCCCAGGGCCCCTCAAAACAAAAAAAATGGTTTGAGCTGATTCAATCATGAATCAATCATGAATGCCTTCCAAAAACTATCAGTAGAACCTCGTACCAGGACATTTGAAGTTCATAACTTCAAATTGAAGTCAAGAACTTGAAATTATTACTTTTTGCTCTCTTTCAAGGCCAGTTTCAATTGGCTACACTGCACTGCACTGCACTGCACTGCACTGCACTGCACTGCACTATCTTTAGTGCGTGGTAGCTGCAGTAGCCAGTAACTTTCTTGAAGAATTCTTACAGTCCTGGACTTTCGGAGGAAACAAAAAGAAACTTTTTTTTAGTGTGGATTTGTACAAACCCCGGTATATTAATTTTTGCAAATAAATTAGTGCATACCTTGACCAAAATAAATTATTCATTTTTAACTTAAACATTCAGTCATTATTGTGACAACAAGAAGTCATTCTAGCAATACCGCCGCCCTTTTCAAAAAAAAAAGAACGGCGGCGCGGCGGCCGCAACCAATTGTTACGAAACGCGTAGTATCCTTTCTGGTACTCGTACGTATCGTACGTATCGTACGTACAGTATCTGACCTGACCTGACCCCTGTCAAACGAACGCACGTTACGAGATTGCTTGCTAGTACTAGTACCACCGTACGACAGAGTCTCAACCATCAAGGATCGTCGAAGATTAGAGGTCCAGAATTTTTTTTTTAAAATCCGTGAATCCACCAGTGAAGACGACGAAAGTTGCAAGTGTTTATCGAGTGCTATCTGCTTTTTCGATACGTAAGAGAGAGAGAGGCGCGATACACACATACAGAGGATACCAAAGAACCCTGAAGCTGGGGAAGGAAAGGCAGAAAAGACCGGAAAAAGTCAGACGGCACAGAAATTCATTTCCCACGATAATTTGAGAATCTACGACGACTTCTTGCGTTTACCATGGCGATGCATACAAAACTGAACCCGATTTATGCCGCGATTGACGCTTATCAATATAATCGTGCAATAAAGTTGGCATTGGCTCTTCCGGATTCAAATGTCTTAGGAAAGGCGCTTTTGGCGCACTCATACACAAAATCTGGACAAAGGCGTCAAGCTCTGACCACCCTGCACAAAATTTTGATCGGAGACGGGCCAACGTCGCCGTCGTTATCGACAGTATTCTTCGAGCTTCAATCGATAGTAGACCGAAAGAATGCAGCGATGGCCCCTTCTACCTCGGCCTCGTTGGCTCAAGGAACCAAAGCGGAACAAGCACCATCAGCGAAAAAAGGAAAAAGAGGGAAAAAAAAACCAGTACAACAACAACAGCAGAAGCAAGAAACTCGGCAGCCGGAAAAAGATTTGATCGATCATCTAGATATAACGCCTTTTGTACCCGAAAACATTCATTTTGTGACCGACGAAGATTCTTCATCGCCATCAACGGAAAGCATGAGCAAGACTTTAACGGACGAGACGACGCTCGCCACACTGGCTGTAAGCCTGAAAAGTCTGAACCTTCCGCTCACGGCCTTTCAAATGTATGCCCGAGCTGCTGATGCCTCACCAACAGAGAACTTGCTGACTAAGACATTTGCCTTTGGCATCTCCGCCCTTGCGGCGCCATATTCCTGGAATGAAGACTCCCGCACAAAATTGGAAACCTATGTCTTGGGGCATATGCAAACAATATCTTTGCAGTTGGCCCGTGTAGCCGTTGCGGGAAATGACAACGACACGCTCATGCTAGCCACTAGCTGGGCCTGCCAATCGGCGCTTTGGCAGCTTGAGTGGCTCCCGGAAGACGACAAACGCTCTATGATTTTGCCGCGATTGGCAGAATCCATGGCCAAAAAATTGCACCAGCAAGAAACCGACAGAAACCAGCAATCAAAAGAAATACAACTATTATGCCTCAGAATTTTGAAACATCAGTCCAAATGGGAGGAAATTCTCGAGATATTAGAAGAATTGCCCACCAGTGAGAACAAGACCGAAAATGATAATTGTTCAGTTCGTTTGGAGAAGGTTTTTGGAGTTGCAATGACCTATCACCAGTCCAAGCTCGAGCTGGCCACAGCCTTGAAACATCTGGATCGGTATGACGATGCGCGAATCATATATGAAGACCTACTTGAACAGCGACCTGATGACTGGTCGTGTTGGAAGGCGCATTTAGAATGCTCAGTGAATAATAGCTGTAGTGTCGGCTTTACACGGACGCTCGCGAATAAAATGATCAAGGACAACGAGGGGAATCTCTTCCAATTTCGAAGTCCGCACCTGATGCTTCTTGAATTAGCTACGGAAAACTTTCGAAAGGACTCTACTGACAAACACCTTCAGGTTCTTGGATCTGCTATTCAGCAATACGCTGAAATCTTTGCACCTCGTGCMAATTGCACTATCATGGATCTCGATCATTACTTAGGTTTCATATTACGCCAGAATACCACGGCTGGTAGGAATGTCACACTAGCATTGCTTGACTTTGCCGAGTCACTTCGCAAGAACAGTTCATCGATAGGAGATACCGATAATGATGGTTATTGTCAAAAAGAACACAAAAAGAAGCTGCGAGCATACATTTTTTCAGTGAAACTATGCCATAAATTGATATCCGCAAACGACGACCTCGCCGAGAAATATCTTCCGAATTGGATCGAAATAGTTAAGGAATGGCAGTTGACGTTCTTATTGAGTGATGGAATGGTACAAGAGGAGGTATGTATTTCATATTTTGCTGTGTCATAAGCGATCGAATTGATTAGTATCTGAACAACAGGAAGGGTGGTGGCATAATATATGAATCGGCGTAACTAACATCAGACACTTTCATTTCAATCCCTTTTCTTCTTCAAGGAGCAGATTCTGAAAGAACTCGAACCTGGGGATGACCTAGCATTATTGGCAGTTCAGCAGTTACTCTTCACAAAGGATTCGCAAAGAGATAGCGGCGACGAAAACGTCATGATCTCAGCTATTATCTTGGAGTCAGCCATTCAAAATTCACCAGGCAATGCATATCTGAAATTTCTAGCCATTGACGTCTTTCATCGATTGGATGCAGGTACTCGATCCTGGGAACACTATCAAAAGGTAGGGCTTAAGCACATTCAGCTAGATTCCTGTAGCTTTTTGGCCTTTCCGTATCTCTTTGAGGGAGGCTTATACAACGAAGCCATAGCTGCTAGCAATGGGCTAATGCGTTTTCAGGGAGGTGCCGCTCGTGATTGTGGTGAATTTTCGGCGAAGGCTATGGGTTCTGGGACTCTCACAAAGGCAGACGAATTTATGGTTTTCCAGAGGAAAAAAATGAATCAAAGTTTAACATTTTTGTATTCCAAAGGACTGGTACTGGATGCTGCGCCCTTGTTGGCAACAGAAGTTCCACGGATGAAGCACGACGAAAACCCTTTGCTGAAGGGTGGAATAGGAATTACACAGGGAATTGTAGGGGGTTCCGACGATTTGGAACGGGCTACCCAGATGGTAGTTGAAAGCCACAACCAGTACGCAGCCTTGAGTATTGTGTCTGTTCGAGGCATTGTCAATGAGGACGGAGACGACATATCCGATAATCGCGATCTTTCCATAGTGAAGCAGGTTGGTAGCTTATGGAAGCCCAAGATACAACGCAAACAATTGATGGTAGTAGAGACGCTGAGACGAGGTCACATTCATGGGCTACTGATTCGAGCTTGTTTGTGTGTCGATGCGATGAAAGGACCAAAGAAAGGAAAGATCGTCAAGACAAGTGCACTGCTAGAAAAGAGATCTCAAAGTCTCCTAGATTCTGTGACAACAGCTTCTGAATTTTTCGATACCAAACTAGCTGATGTTTATGACGAAAGCAAGTATCAGAATTGTTGGCGAGAACTGTTGCAAGTTATTTTGAGCTTGTGCCGTATTCTAACTGTCGTCAACGCAGGAATGCCAATGGCGGAGAATGTTAATGATTCAATGGAGCAACGAGAGCAGCAGGCAGTCGATTTGATTCAAACTGAAACCCTGATGAAACTGAAGGAGGTTCGCAACAAGATTTATCCTGTCAACAGTCCGAAAGTGGTTGGTGCGCTCCTACCTGCTTTTCTTTTGCCAATTTTCGCTTTGTTTCGTATGTGCTCCGATGTCTGCACTGCCTATGGGTGGGGGAAACGCAAGACAACCAAGAAAGTTTCGGTGGCAATGGCCTCTGTGTCCAAAGAATTCCAGGCTCTCATCGAAGATATTTTGAAGCCCTGTTTGGGGGCTCTCCCGTCGTCCGACGCCGAATCGCCGTTGTTTTCGAAATATTCACTCTCGGAAGAAGTGGAGAACCTCCTTGGCACGGATGCAGTTTCTTCCACCAAGGCTGTATTGAATGAAGCTCAATATAGAACGCGAATGAGAATGGAACCTATTCTCCAAGAGATGATCGATTATCTCGACGAATTCAATACTATGAACAAATGATCAACATAGTAATTTGAATACAAGTATTATTTAGTCTCTTCTATTGTTGTGCCCATTCAAATTTTCTTTCCAAATTCTAGTCGGCATTCGAACCATACACTCTCCTCTTCCGGGAAGTGGTTTCCCCAGCATCGCTGTTGAAAGCGGCAGTGCTTGTTTTTGTTTCCCTTCTGATTCCCTCGATGGTGTATTCCAATTTATTCCTCCGATAGAGGGCTTCTTCATATTCTTGGTTCAATCTGTCTATTTCAGGTCCAACGTGCTGGGTTTGTGCCTGCTGTCGGCGAAAATTTATTTCCTCCACCGCATCCATCTGGTCTTTGAGCAATTCGCTCCAGAATGTTCCCAATTTATTGAGCCTGGCGTTGTAATCTTTCCAGTTTGCGATCCCCTCTTCCTTTTCGACTTCCAACAACAAGTTACGAAGTCGCTCGGCTTCGTAGCGAGCTTTGATCTGCGACAGAGCGCCCCTACCGCCGTTTGCGGCGGCATCCGTCCATTCTTCCGTCGTGGTCGGTTTCACGATTTTCTTGTGCTGAAACTTCTTGAGTTGCTCTTTTGGACGACCTCGAAAAACCAATCCATGTACATCGCCAGTTTCTCCGCTGTCGTCTGCCACTACCAAATTATTGTACTCGTTTCTCATTGTTGTCGTCCGGAAGGTCATCGGAAAAATCTTCTTCATGGGCCGTGGGGCAATCGCTTTCATTTCCTCCTCGATCATGGCCAGAGCATACTCTTCGTAGTCTTCGTGGACTGTCTCCACGTATGGCAGCGAGTCCATCGAGACGGGGGGTGCCGACTCTCCACCGACAGTGGCTGTCTTTATTGTCGCAATCTGGTTCATCGTTCCCTCTTTGCTTTTCGCTTCTTGGGTTACGAGTTCGTTGCGAGTTCGAGTGCTCGTTTTGAATGCGAAGGTTGTCATTCCCCCAGGATCATACCTACGTATCTTGTACTGTGCAGTACGTACATCACATGGTAAAGTAAAAGTTGCATGTTTTTTTTTCGTTTTTCGTTTTTCCTTACCTTTCGTATCGTACGTACGCCGGCCAGAATTCAACAAGTTGAAAATACTACTACTAGTAGAAAATAGTATACTACAGTACGGTACCGTACGTACCCAGGTACTTCGTCGTACTGTACTCCGTATCGTACGAGGTCTTCTATTCTATCCCACTTCTACGGTACGGTACACCTGCACCTACACCGTACGAGGTACATCTTCGTATGGTACGGTACATACCGATAGAGTACAGTTAGAAGGCAATGACAAGAGGATAGGACAAAGCACAATGAACTACGCAGCGCGGTAGTGCAGAATGTTTTTCTCTTCGTATGTGAGAGGCATAAACTTCTGACTTTTTGGTCGTGTCGTGCTTGCGAAATACTACGAGTACTATCATACTGCAAGTACGTACTCGTACCTAGTACAGCCATCCAGGGGTTGTACCGTACATGGTACGTACTGTACAGCGCGGTACGAGAGATCTCCGAAATACTTGTATTCAACCCCCCCTCCGTTTGAGTCTCGATACGGTACACAAAACAAACACGACAGAGAGCAAAACGAATCAAAGGATCGGCCATAGAACGCCACAATGAACGGTATCGAGACCGTCGCCGAATCCAATTACTTGGCTGATCGAATCAGTYGCATGCGTATCGAGACCGTCGCCGAATCCAATTACTTGGCTGATCGAATCAGTCGCATGCGTATCGAGACCGTCGCCGAATSMAATWACTTGGCTGATCGAATCAGTCGCATGCATGTTGACGAACAGGGCGATGGACCTATCGGCAGTGAGGTCCATACTATCACTCCTGTCCCATTAGTCGCGGTCGCTCAACCTATTGACGTCCGCGGCGTTCTTGACCCCATCGATGACAACGATGTAGTCGCTCAACCTATCTACATTGCCAAAGTCGATCACTATGGCGATCGATCTGACCAACACATCCACCAACAGGACGATGGGGCCATCTGGAGTGAGGCTGTAGCTATCGCTGCGAAGGATGCCCGTGATGAAGCTGATGTCCCATACGCAGTCGCTGAAATGATAGATGGCCACGCAATAGACCATTTCTCTCAGGGCTTCTATTTGAGTGGAAATCAAGATGTGAAGTGTTCTCGGGGCTTCTTTGAGTTTTTGGGTGGGATTCCAGATACCAATAGTTTTCAGGCAAGAAAAAGAGCAAGATTTTGACGATTGCCATCGTTGTTATTTTTGAAACAGAGAAAGTGCGAAGGTCGCCCAGCGTGTAGTAGGTGCATGCGAGGCGAGATGGCGAACTGAACTAGCGTCGCGAAGATAGATTGGTCGAGAAAACATATTGATAGGTATGATGTTCAGTAGCAATGGAGGATATGCAGCTGGTAGATCATGTGACAGTTGTCTATCTAATTGAGAGGTATTGAAGTAGAGAGATCTTACGTTCACGAAGGATCCAAAAGAGGCTTCGTACAGAGAGACAGACTGAAACATCGAAAAGGATGCCATTCTGGCACGAGGGCCGTGATCATTAAAGGTATGTGGAAAGTTCATATTCGAAATAGGAATAGAGGATTAGAGAGACTAGAGAATTAGATAGAGAATACTTTATTTGACTCATTCAATCTTCCCAAAGTTAACCATCTCAACACTTGTGATGCCCAGGTTTTTTCAAGTACAGAATCCTTTTAGCAGAGAGGTTTGGGCATCAGCTTGCGACTATTGGGAACGATTGATACTCATGGAGCGTCCAATTTTTTTGTATTTCTTCTATTCTTGTTGAGATTCTTCCAGGCCAATGCATCCAGTCCGAAGGCATCTGCAAGGACCATACTCGCACTCTGGTCGGTGATATTGACTTCCACCAAAGCATGTGAGGGATGGTTCCGAACGAAATCCCGAACGAAATCAAAATGTTGGAAATAAATCGTCTTCAAAACTTCCTTGATTTGTGTCCGGTTCTCGGGGGGAGGAACGCTGGGTATGACACCCTGAATGTAATATTCGTTCAAGAATTGGTAATGCAGATTGTCGCCGGTCCCCCATTTCAAAACCGAATCAATCCAAGGATCATAATCTCTCCAATTCAAAATCCAGGTCGCATTAGGGTACGAATCGTGGATTTCTCGAATTCTAAATCGCTGTGGAAAAAAAATCCGCTGTCCCGGACCGTCGAAGTCGTAGGTGCCATCATCCAGGAGGTAACCCTTCCTGTCATGAAATTTTGGATGGTACTTTAATCTACGCGGTCCATTGATCTCACTGTAGACATCAAAGTGACCGCAACCACTGAAAATACTGGTTCTATTGCCTCGTTTCAAATTGTGAAGCAAGCAGTCTGCCATGAGAGGTCCTCCTTGAATCCTAGTGGATTGCTCTTGTTCAAAAAAAGAGAAGTAGAAGCACGAGTAACGATTGTAATGAGGTATGCATCGAATCCCATGTCACCGTCACCATCGCCATTGCTATCGACAAAGCATTGTAGTGAAGGTATCATAGTAAAAAAGGTGTCTATAGCAATGACTAATTGTACGGAAGTAGCTGCTAAGTCCAGAAAAATTAAGAACCAACGACTCACTTACCCTCACAGCAGTACCAGTGTTGGGAACGCAACCCCTGTTTGCGGAAAAACCTAAAAATCGAACTTGTCCCCGCTTTGGGAAATCCCATGACGATGATAGGTGTCGGGAGCAAGAGAGTGGGTTTTTCGCGGATGTGTGGTTTTAATTTTTTTCCTATCCCTCCAATTGCGTTTTGTTTCCGCTGCGCTTCCATTTTTCTTGTGCGGTAATAATCATCTTCGTTGTCATAATCATCTTCGTTGTCATAATCATAGTGTCTTGGACCAAGGTATGGCTTCTTGTCGTTGCCAACAGAAATGTACCCGAAAGGGCCGACGGCATCGAAATCATTAGTCTGCGTCTCGTTTTCATTGGGTTTCATTCTATTAGAATTCCGAATGCGATCTTCGTTGCCATAAATAGCATGCAAGTGTTCTTCTTCTCGCTTGTCATATTGCCGAGCTTTGTGTTTGTAACCGATTGTCCCGCTGTCTTCGGTATGAGACTGTTGGAGAGAGGGAAAATTATCTCCCACTATGGTCGGCAGGTCGGAAAGGGTCTTAACAAACAGAAGGAACCACAAACAAAGGATAGAGAAAACAACCGCATTGACACCTCGAAAGGTAATTCTCATTTTTGCTTGACATCTGATTGTCGTTTGGCGTCAGCCACACTGGTCTCATCCCAATGGAAGCGAAATGTTAATTCGTTTGAATTATCATTCTTCATGTGAGTAGAAAAACGTTGCTACGCGTTGCGGATCAATTGAAATTACGTTTCACAGGGAATGTTAGAATTAAAGTTCCCAACGAAAGTTTATGTTTTTTGTTAGCACCCCAGGCCTTTGTAGAAATGACTACTACTGCAGTTTTTTGCTTAACTCTTGACAAGTAAAGTCTTTGTTCCTCAAATTGCAACTTTACTCATCATAAGCATCCTCACCATCTGCTTCAGCCATCTCAATCTCTGCTGAATTGACCTGCTTCTCAAACCACTCCCAGTGTTTCTTAGTACTAGTAGATGCATACAGCCAAAGAATGCTTTTCCTGGTGCATACTTCTTTCTTCTTCTTGGATGATCCAGCAACAAGCAGGAGTGCCTTGCTGAGAGGAGTCTGGAAGCTTAACTGAAGACACACTCAGATGGGGCTGAAGTGTGTTGCACAGGAAGATAGATCTTGGCAAGCCTTGCGAGAATTCTTGAATAACTTGTCTGAAACTATTTCCACCACGACTGGAGTGGATCATTGTAAAATATCTTACTTTGAAGTTATCTTGACTATGGCCAAGCGCTCAGAACACATGCAAAGCTCAAGTTCATGTTTACAAGCATGATCAATATTGACCTCTGCATCATTGTTAAATTGATGACAATTATCTTCTTCAGATTTTGCCTCTTCTTCCTCCATCAGCTCAAACATGTTCATGTCAGCATCATCAACACCAATATCCTCAACACCAGTATCTCCTTCTTCAACTTGTTCCATGATGTTAATAGTTCCCTCCATGGAAACCACTTCCTCAGCCTCAAGTCTAATGGACTCAGACTCTTTCATCAGTTCCACCAGTATTTTGCTGCAAATATCTTCTTTGCTATTTTCTTTGGTGCAAATATCTTTTTTGCTATTATCATCTTCTCTGGTGGATACCAAGCTCTTGGTTCTTGGGTCAAAGAATGTAGCAATTGTCAGAATTTGGTTGGTCCCCTCCTGTCTGTTTCTCTTGCCACAATTTGGTGTGAGTCCTTGTCATAAACTACAGCATCATCATCTTTCCAACCAATGTTGAAGTGGTCCTTAAAGAGATTTCCAGCCAGTTTGCCTCCACTAGTATCACCATTTCTTCACATTCTTTGAATAGTGTATGTTTTTCACTGCTCCACACAACAACACAGCACTTGCACTAACATAAATGTCTCCCTCTAGGGCTTTCTAGGCTTTTTTGAATGGCTCCAATGCAAGCATTTTTTCATTCAGATGTTTACAGTCATCACATGTAAGTTTCTCTACTTTTTCCATGGTTGACCCTGAATACATTGCTTGCATTGCTGTTATAAGATAAATCAGCCTGTCAAGTGCATCATACGTTGACCACCATCTTGTCATGACATCATCAACAACATCAACAGGTTTCTTTCTTTCCTAGGTTTCAACCTGTAATTCCTGGGCCCTCATGAGCATTTTGGGTTGGGTGGAATAATTTAAATGAATGTGTGCTCTTGCTTTTTTGTAGCTCTTGACATGAAGAACACCACCAAATGTTTTCTCTGGGTTTTTGGTATGAGCCTGATTGCAAATGTTATGCATTTTATGGTCCTCAGCACAATAAATATGGTGAGTACCTTTGTCCTCCAGCAGCATCCCAAGAGAGTTCATGTTTGCAGCTGTGTCAGTTGATACTGCTGTTGAATAAGTACCTTCCAACTTCACAATTTCTGAAAATCATCACTCAACTTTTTGCCTGTTGGTCCTCCTTCATGCAAAAACAAATCAATCTCAAAGGACAAACAGATAGCCCAATTCTCATCAATGAAATGAGCTGTGACACCAGTTTAGTTCTGCTTTATTTTAGATGTCTAGTGACCAAGGGTAACTGAGATAGCCTGTCCCTTCAGTTCTTTGACCATTCTTCTATGCATTAAATATTCAATGTGAGATATCATGATTGAACCTTCTTTTGGCTTGTTGGCTTTCCATTATGGTTATGGGACCAAGTTAGATCATGAAAAGGTTTTGTTTCCAACAAAGTACTGAATGGAAGAAAGTTCCTACACAGAAACTTCACAGTCGTCAGATCTTGATATTTCTGCATCTCCTTAGCAGTTGCCTTGGGTTCTTTTTTGTTGCAAATTGACTTAATGAAGTCTGGATGGCCTTTTGTTTTTCACCATCATCTTAGGCCTAGACAGCATTAGATTCTTACACAAAGACATCAATACTCTTCTTACCATGTGCTTATGAATTCAAGTGATGGTTCATGCTTGCATAAGTTTGTTTCTAATTCTTGCCATTTGGTGTTTGTACATGAAGGCTATATGGAGATTTGGGGGGTAACAGAAAAAACTCAATTAGAGAAAAAAATATCTTTTTTTATAGTCGATTTATGGTAGAAACATAGTTGATATGCGGTGGGCAGTATGTGGCAGATATAAAGTTGATATGTAGTAGCCCTACCAGCAGATGCTGCTTTTGCATGTGAAACTCTGAAACATAATTTTTGTGTTTTAATATATATGATCATATGTTATCTCAATATATACATTTATGAAAACATTCTAATGATCTCTGTTTAATACAATACCAGCCCTGTTGCCCCTCAGTAGTAGTACAAGTACTGGTATGTACTTGTAGTACAATCCTGCTGCAGTGATCTGATGCAAGTAGAGGCCTAGTAGTACAAAAATCATGTAGAAATCTGCAAATCAAGGTAGGAGTATACTGTTGAATTTGGTCAAAATTGATTGGTTTTTATCGTGCCTTCAAAATAGTACTGGAGATACACAAGCTGACCTTTTTTATCACAAGTTCAACAAAATAGTAGCATTCTAAAGCTCTGGAGAGGACATTGTTAACTAAGGGTCAACTCACTTGAACAGCTATCTTGGTCCCCAACAGATGCTTAAGTATGGTAGGCACATTAATTGAAAGCAAATTTTTACAGGATTTTAGTCATATGGGGGAGTCAGGAGGTCCTAGTAGTGGAATATATTGATATATGCATATGAATATAGTAGGATTGAAAATGTACAACTGGATTGTGTTTTTTTGAGTAGCCAAGCCTATACAATATATACTATATACATTACCTAAAGATCAAATAGGGATCACATCATAGCATTGCACTCTAAATGATTTATTTGTACCCTGCAGGCACACAAGTTATCCCAGATCTTAACTAAGCACTCAATAGCAAACAAGACAGCTGTTGTTGCTCAGCTTCTCATTGCCTTTTTAAGCTTCATGTAATAGCCGGTCTTAATTTTAGGAACCAATTCCATGCTTCCTAAATCACTTTTAGCTAGCTCAGCAATCTGCAAAGCAACAAGAAGCAAAACCAACCTAATGTACTGGTAGACAAGAAGCAAGAAACATGGTGTCATGAAGGAACTGAACGCATACCACCACCAGTGAATTGTTACTAGTACAAAACGGTTGCATGGAGCTCATTGGAGCTGCCCCTGGTGCAAAATAGTACTACCTCCATTCCTAAATACTGGTGCAGTTTGTACCTCTTTGGTCAAAATAAGCTCAATATTTGGTCAATTTGACTGCTTCTTTTTTATTATGTTAATCTTACTTAATACTTTTGAGATGTGTTATGCCTTATAATGTAATACTGGTAGCAAAGAAGGAATAAGCCTTCAAAAAGGCTTATTTTTTCTTATCAATATGAAAATACCGTCAGTTGGCTTCTACTGGTCACTTAATGACCAGACCGGTTTCTATAGAAAGCCAAGAGTGACACATTTTTTAGGCTTTAATTCTCTTCAGTGTTGAGAACTTTCTTGCAACTGCCATTCTTGTTCAAAAGAGGTGTACCGTACCATTGTTGTCATTTAATTGTTTCACATGTTAATACTAGACTGTTTATTGCATGTGCAAAAATAATTTCATTCACGCGCATGCTCATTTTTATCTACAGTACTAATTCTATGTGTTGTACACTTAAGTAAATACTGTACCATTATTTTGGAAAAAATAAAGTAGGGCAAGCTGTGCCAGTATTTAGGAACGGAGGTAGTACATTGTAGAATAACAAAATAATAAGTCATACTAATTTCTTTCTCTTAACAATGCCGCAACACCAAGCAAAGAGTGGAGCAAAAAAGTTAATCAAAAGAAGGAACCTCTGAAATTCTGCAATGAGCTCAATCTAGCAAAGAAGATTACATGCTACAACTTTTGGAACTACTACTTGAGTACAGTGGGAGCTGAAAGGTGGGAGTCCAGTCGACAAACTGGGTTCCATGTTCAATTGGAGGTCTTCCAGCTATATCCAAGAGAACATTCAAAGAAACAGATGGCCAAAGATTGCCAAGGTAAGAGCCTAGTAGGTTACTTTGTACTTTTGCTGTATTCTTCTATTGTCACTGCTGTCATCCTTCTTATTGATCCTTGTGATTACTACTGTTATTGAATTGACTGGTACTGAAGAGAATGTCCTTGTTGGCTCAGGATCTAAGTAATATAGAAATAACACTTGGAGATAAATTTGAAGAGCACCAAAAGAGAAGAGCTGAAGTGCAAGTAGAAGAAACAGTAGTGKAAGCCGTTGCCATAGAAGAAGAACAACAACAAGAAGTGGACACCTCTTACAACTCCTATTCATTCCCTCCGGAAACCAAATCAGAAGAAGAAGAAGAAGTATTCACTACACCCATGGCTTCTGCTAGGAAGAAGAAAGCTACCCCCAGCGCTGATGGGCTTGTCTCATGCATAAGATCCCTCAAGATTGATGCAAGTCCCAAGCTCTCAGGTGTTTAGGCAATCAAGCCCTTAGCAAGACCAATGTTCCCAATGCATTTGAATACATGGGATGATTGCATTGAGGATTCTGTTGGCTACGTGAAGGGCGTGATGAGCCTTGATCATACTAGTGCACCACTTAGAGATCTTGATCCTAGTTTCATTGGCAAAAGACACTCCAGGATTAGAATGAAGTGACTATTACAGCATGTGCCACATGGATCTTGATGCAAATGAGAAAAAGATCTTTCATCATGATCACCCCTCCTACATTAGAATGGAAATAAATACAAAGAAACTCAAGGGCAAGACTTCAGATAGAACTATCTGGGAGGAGAGTGTCATCTACTTTCCTTTGAAGGGCATGGACACTGTCAGTTATTCTCCTAAGAATCTAAGAAATGGAATACATGGTGGAATCCTGGTGAAGCTCCTCAGGACGGATTTCCAGGTGCAAATCAAAAAAGAAGGATCTAACAAGCCTATTCAAATTAGAGAATCAAAGGGCAGTATTCTGCTAAATGCAAACACCAATTGCTGTTAGTACAAGTCCTCCCCCCCAGTGTGTGACACTCCCATGGACACACTAGACAAGGAGTTGAAGAAACCACTGTCACATCAAAATACTCACTTCACAGACTTATTGTCATCAAAGTGAGTCACTGGGCAGAGTTACTACTGATACTGGTATTTTTAGTGTACTGTTGGTACTTTCTCTCCAGGCATTTCAGTACATAACTTCATAAAATAATACAGGTCTGAGACAAAAATATATATAACTATCACATCAAAGAAGTACTCACTTGACAGACTTATTGACATCAAAGAGTCTTTGGACAGAAATACTAGTACAATTAGTAATACTGGTATTTTGAGTATACTGCTGGCACTATTGTCTTTCTGGGAATAGCAGTACATAACTTCATAAATTGCTGTCTTCACATACTGCTTACTACACTATCACCTGTTTACTTAACACTCATCAAATAGTTTATTTAACCCCCAATAAAATGTGACTATATACAACACGTAGAATCAGCATGCATGCGTGATATGTTTTTGCACAAGGAGTTACACAGTGTTTTAAGTTGTAGCATTGCTGGAAATTTTTGTTTGCTGTTCCTGTTCTTCTCCTCCCCACCTGTGCTGCTGGTTGTACCTCCTAATCTTGGGACTTGTTTCTTTGTTTGCTTAGTGGCTCTACCACTTTCTGTAGATTTTTTCCCTATCCATTTGTTTCCTCCCACCTTTTTGTTCTTGCTATGAATAGTATTACCAACACTGGTAGTAACAGCAGCACCAGTAGTAGTAGTGTTTGTGGTTGTGTTATCTTGTTAGCACTCTGTCTGGTTAGGCCATTCATACTATTGAGACTGTTCAGCACTTGTTGTTTCATTTTGATTTGATTTTTGTTTCCACAGGAAAAGAAAAGTATGTCACAAAAGAAAATGGTGTCAAGCAGTGGCTGATTACCTATGATTTCTACAAGAAGATCTGGTTGTTTACAAAATGTCAACTGTCAGGTTTTATTTTTAGTCCATGATATGATGTAAGAAACAAACAGGCAAGCCTGCGTCATTTTTTTCATCCTTGTTGTCCTTATCCTACTACCACTGCTAGAACTACCCGGTACTGCTGTTGGTGTTTTGTTGGAGCAGCTCCTCATCCTCCCACTGTGTACTACTAGTTCATAGTACCACTACTATGACAAACTACCACCACTATTAGTATTTAGTACTAGTAGTACTAGTTCCATTGGTATCACAAATTGTGTACTACTACTAGTAGCAGCATTATTGATAATACTACTAGTAATATGTAACATACCTATGTTGGCATCAATCAAATCTTTTTCAGAAAAACAACAAGATCAAGAGACCAGATKGGTAGTACTAGATGAGATGACATAAAAAAATTTGGCAAGGGGCATACTCAGACAACATCATTGATGATCATACATGGCCATACACCAAACAAAATTGATGATTGATCTCAACCATTACTTCCCACATTTTGACATCAGCAAGATGAAACCATAAAATGACATCAATTTACTTCCTGCCTTTTGCTGACATGTACTTGAAACAATTGAACAAAAACAACCTTCCCAAACAAAAATGACATCGACAATCCATACCATTACTTCCTGCATTTTGACATCAAGATGGAATCATCGAACGACATCATCAACTGACATCAAATGTTTCTTCTGCCTGGATTAACGGCACCTTTTTTTGTTTGACGTCCTTTGACAATGTTGACATCCTCAGACAATGTCCTCAGTCAATGTCCTCAGTCAATGTCCTCAGTCGATGTCCTCAGACGATGTCCTCAGACAACATCCTTAGATGACATCCTCAGATGATGTCCCTATCCAAAAAAGGCACTTCGTGAGACCAGAAAACAAAGAAAAAAATGACATCAACAATCCATACCATTACTTCCTGCATTTTGACATCAAGATGAATCATCAAACAACATCATCAACGACATCAAATGTTTTTTCCGCATGTAATAATGGCACTTCTTGACATGACATATGAGACCAATTTTGTCTTGTTCCCGACATCATCCTTTTACGACGTCAACATCCTCAGACGACATCCACCCTCAGACAACATCCTCAGATGACATCCCCTATCTGAAAAAGCAATCTTTGACAACTTCCAAAGATGAAAACAATGATCGAAAATGACATCAACAATCCATACTGCATAACAACAACAAAAAATGACGATGCTTATTAGTAGTTCCCGCATTTTCAACCCATCAAACGATGTCAAATGTTGCTTCCTTTCCAAAAAGAAGCCACTCCTTGACACCAGAAAACAACAATTGAAAACAACGTCGACAATCCATACTGCATGATGACAACAAAAAACGACATTGCGTATTAGTTCCCGCATTTTAAACCCATAACCATCACTTCTACTAGTATGGAAAAAAATTCCTCTAGTAGTCACTCTAGTATTAAGGAGGAGGACATTGAAGGAGGTCCAATCAAGGTTCTTGGCATGACAGTACTAGTATTCATGTTCACTTGTGGACTTGGAAGAAAAATTGATGGCCGCTGCAATGTCATTGTAGAGGTGGTTGGCTTCAGTATCAGTGTCACTTTGCTCTGTGTTGCTGCATCCCAACTTGTTGGAGAGGAACCTGTGGTATTTCCCTTTGGACTCAAACTTGTCCAGCAAGGTGTTTCTATGTCAGTGCTTTTTAAATCCACTACTACAGTCAAAGTCATTCATATTTTGGAGATATGAGGGTCACTTTCATTTTGAAAAGACCAAAAATGATGGTAAGAATGACTTCTTGTCATTCAAAATGTTGGGAGAGATTGGTTCTCTCCTTTCATTTCAGAATGACTCATGATGACAGCAATGACTGAGTTTTGAATTGGGTTGTCTTTCATTTTAGAATGACAAAAAATGATAGTACTAAGAATGACTTATCACTCAACAATGACTGAATTTTTGAATCTTGGGAGAAATTGGGTTATCTTTCCTTTTGGAATGACCAATGAGACTGAAGTTTTGAGTTTTGAGAGAAATTGGGTTCTCTTTCCTTTTGGAATGACCAATGACGACATCATTGACTGAAGTTTTGAGTCTTGAGAGGAATTGGGTTCTCTTTCCTTTTGGAATGACCAATGATGACAATGACTGAATTTGTAAGGAGTCTTCTTGTTGAGAGTGATTGGGTTGTTCTCTTTCCTTTTGGAATGATCAACAATAGCAACAATGACTGATTTGGGTCTTGGAAGGAATTGGGTTGTCTTTCCTTTTACAACAATCAATGATGGCAATGACTGCTTTTTTATTCTTTGGGGGATTTTGTGCTACTAGTAGTACTAGTACACTATCTTAATATCTGGTGTTTTTGGTGAAGGTACTACTAGTAGTTTATTTGCCATTTTGGGGTAGTACTAATGCCTGCTACTTAGATTCTACACAAAAAAATTCTTTGTGTTTCTTCTGGAAGTCCAGAGCAGTGAGAATTCTTCAAGGTCACTGGCTCCTGTGCACAAGTGAAAAGTGGTACGGTAGTCCAGTGCATTGTAGCCAACAAGTACCGTAGTACCGTACGTACCCTACCACTGTACGGTATGCTATGATATTCTTCTACGGTATTTTTAACGGTTCACATACGTACCGTACCAACGAGAACTAGTAGTAATAATACTGGATGATGTACCCGTATGATCTACGGTAAGTACTTACGTACGGGTGCAGACCGGATTAGCATGACGTCAAAATCGTTGATCAGGAACTAACACTATCCAAAAGATCGAATACTGTAATGGCGATTGCTAACACAGCATTTTCTGCCATGAAGAGGAGACGAGAAACACAGTCGAAATAGGAAATAGGAGATTTGGTATTATAGATATAGAAAGATATTTGTGCCCGTCGTCGTCATTATCGATGCAACCGACGCAAAAGTCGTTCCTACAGGACGAACTCGCCGCCGTAATTTCGGCGGTGATAGGCGGCGCCTCCTATGGAATCAAAATACGACTGCCGCACGCCCTAGTCATGACGTGCTTGTTTCGAAACGATTTAACGCCAAGAGAGAAGATCCGAACAATTTTGAAGCTTGTCTTTGAACATGCATCTAACTTAGCGGCCTTTGCGACTATCTACAAGGTTTTCTTGGCGGTCTTGAAGGGATCGTCGCGGTGTTTGAGGCAAGGCGTAGGGCTTAACGATTATCCCAACAACCAACCACGGACGACTTCCAATGCAATCAAGTCGCTGGGAAGAACACTGATCGCACTGATCGTAGACGGACCCTTTTTTTCGACTGACACATCTTCTGTTTGGGGGTCGTCCTCCAGCACTAGAAGAGCTGGAGAGCCGGAACGACCATATCATTCGTTGCTGGCAGGTGCCGCCGGTGGTTATATCGTTTGGGGACGTTACTCCTCCGTCAACCACCAAATTGTTTTGTATCTGGCGAGTCGGATCATGGTAGGACTGGCCAAAAGGGGATGGGAACTTGTCTATAAAGAACCGGGGCACTTTCGAAATGACAACAGAGGCAAGTCGATACTACAGCACCCCCAAACATATCCTATGGTAGCCGCCACGGTGTGGGGCATCGTTATGCTATTGTTCGAAGAAAGTCCCCACGTTCTCCATAGATCGCTGAAGAAAAGCATGGACGAAATATACCGCCGAGGCGTTTTTTGATAGCACGTTCCGTTTACTGAAGTCTTCACAAATTATCTACATGAAAGGTCGCTCTAGGTTTTTTGCACTTTGTTGCCGTTAGGTACTGTATGTTTTACAAACATTTTGAGTTCTGAATTATTACCAATGCAATAAAAATGAATCATCGAAGGAAATTATTCACACTAGGTCTGGGATTCTAACTATTGGTTAGAGTTATTCAATACCTTGCAGTTCCAAATGAAATTCAACTGCCATCTCGAATGCAGTATCCCGAGTTGTTACCAGATCATACTAAAGGAACAATCCACTAAACCGTCGGGGTTTCCCATTGTAATAAAAATCCCCCGAGTAATCGGCAACTCTCGTCCAATCATCGACCGATTCGAATCCATATCGTGCCTTGAGTTCCGAAAAGGCATCCGAGCCACTTGGACCCAGATCTACACAAGCGACATCACCAGCCTCTAGCGATCGCTCAATCAAACTGTAGACGCTGTGGAACCAAACATAGTTCTTGGCAGCTTCGTCGGTGGCATAAAACCATTGGCCCCGTACCGTTGAGCCCTTTCGAACCTATGGTGCGGAGAGCGCAATGTTCCACCAAGGGTGTTCAAGGAAAAGTAAAAGGGTGAGATTACTGCATATCGTGCGAATCAAAGAGTGAAACCAGCTGTCAATGGAAAGTCCTACACACCTCGTGCGCAATGGCAATGACCTTCCCCTCTTCCGACCGATACTCCCTAATATCTCCCGTCATCCGCGTGGTACCAACGTAGCGAGACACGCCCTCGGCGAGAGCATCAAAAAAGGCGTCTTCTCCGTACATGTTTCGCAACAATCGAACCTCGTGTTCAATCACGCAACGAAAATGCGCCAGGGACGAGTGGGGTGCCGGTTCGTCGGCCAAAATGTGTTTTGTCGTCACGGTAAAATTCTGTGCCAACGCCTTTTTGATGGTACGTTTGCATCCCCGAGGAAGTGTCTTCACCCAATCGTCGATAGTGGTGATGTTTTTCAATTCGAGCAAGGCGTGGGGTCTCGTTTTCCACCGGCCGGTCCACTGGGCGGCTCCCATTGCACCCAGCGAATTCGATTCCCGCTCTTCGATCGAAAAGCGATCACCAACGGTCTTTTCTTCGGGTGGCACGTCTTTCAGAGCGGCTTTGGCCATTTGTACAGGTGGGGAATCTTCCGGAAGGTTTCCAAATATTGCGGCAATCGCTAGCATCAGGTTGTTGTATTCGTCTCTTCCGGCAAAAGCACGGGAAAGCCATGCGAAAAGGGAGGTAATCCTTTCGTCGTCAAGTTTCGAGTCCAAATACACCGAAAGCTCCTGCTTCTCTGCAAATAGCGGGGTTTGTCTTGGTCCCCAACTCGATGATGTACACAAATTGTCATATTTCCCTCTGCTCATCGAGACGGCAGAATGGCTCCGGGTCATAAAACATATTCCGGAGTTGGCGTGAATAGCGACAAGAAGGAGCGAGAAACAAAAAGATCTCATTGCAACTCTGTACTGTCGTTGGACAAAATGAGTGATCTAGTGGTGTGGAGAAATGAAGAACAGCAGTGCAAGCAACGTTTTGTTTTGTCCGATTACTCTGCTAGCTGAATGGATTCTCTTGGCAGGAGAGGCAGGAATGCTTTTGATAACATCAAAACATGCTATCTTCACTCCTGCGTTGTCGATGTTCGACTGTGGTGCACGTTAGCGTAGAACTTCTTTTGAAGAAGAAGAATTGCTAGTATCGTACGTACTCAACGTACGAGTACGAACCGTACAATTCTCAAGATCTTGGTCGAGGATTACACTGTAACGAACTGTACACATCATTCAAAACCAAGAAAAATTGCGTGCGATGCGCATGCAACAAACTCTGTCGTCTGCAATCGACCGGGGATCGAATCGAAAAAAATACTACGTACTAGTGAAAAGCAGAAATACAGTAGAAAATACTACTAGTACTACTGTACCGTACAATATCTAACCTTAGTCGTGGTAATAATGTATGACTGTACCGGAATATACGTACGTACGTATGTACGTACTTTACAGTATTCCATTTGTTTTATCGAACTAGTCTAACTCCTCTATCAGCGATTACTCGTACCGGTAGTAGCCGGCGAGATAGAGTCGATACGACTGAACAGAGAGACCATGTACAGTACGTACGGATTTTGTATTAAGCATCGCTCAACCATTCAGGCACTCGTACGGTAAGTGTACCCGCATCACACTATCAGATTAAGTACGAATATCGTATTCTCATAAAAGGATCGTTTTACTCGTAACTCTCAGAAGCAATAGTAAGAATGCCATTGGGGCAATAATCATTCACTTGCACTTTTGTCGATGCTCCTCCGCAAAGCATGGAGGGACGTACGGTACCTTACGATACCTTACGGGTAACATTCAATACGCCGTAGAGTTAGACGTGCTTTTCATTTCCAGGCAACAAGGCAAAATTTCTGTGCAAGTGCTGTACACTCCTTGTCACAGCGAACTCGCACTCCCGTCACTTCTAGCAATCCATCTCCCGTATCCCTGTCTCTTGATCTATGACTGGATGCTTCGTCGACCACCCAAATGGATCGAAACTGACACCTCGAGACATGCAGAACATTGATAACAGTCTCAGAACAGCTCTAGCCCGAATAACAAAACAAAAAACCTCCTATTCGTGACACCTAGGTTGGTGGTGCTAAAATCGGGAAGGATGAGCAGTAAGAAAAACAATCGATCGAGGAAAGATGTTGCCCGCAATCACGGCGGTGGTAGTGAAAGCGATAACGAAAAGAACAACAGAGGAGCGGATCCACCACCAGCATCGACGAGGCCTCCCACAACTAGACAGAGACCCAACCAGGAAGGGGACGGCGACGACTTCGATTGTAGACCCACGAAACCACCCGCGAGGAATGATAGTTCTTCAGGACGACGCCTTGGATTGGCCCCGACAAAGTCCTCGCGACGTTCTAGGTCAAGAAATTCCACTTCGGATTTGAAAAAGGTCCCTGCTGCTACCAGTGACGCAACGGATAAAAAATCAGCGGCATCGGAAGCAATTTCGAAAACGGAAGCAAAGGCTAGCCCAAAAAATCCCTCGGCGGAACCAACGGTTCATCGACAGAAAGCGAAAAACAGCCCGGATAGAGATGATGCAAAATTGCCACAAAAGCAAGGTTCTACCAAGAAAGGAATCGCTAGGAGTCAAAACGTCGCCAAAAACTCGGGAACAGAGAAGGGAATGGAAAAAACACGTGTCACACCTTCAGCATTCCGTTCCGTCTCCACGAGCGGTCCAAACTCTGGCAATACAAACAACCATGCCGGCAGGAACAGTTTTAATGACGACGATGGATCGCAGGCAGATCAAACGCTGTCGACCGCACCGGGTCCGCCCTCTCTACGAATTCGCAATCATTACTCTTTGCGACCGGGTGCCTATCGCATTACCACCGGTGGAGTTGCCCGATTCGTAGACGCCAATGATGATTTGGACAATGATACGGCGCTGGATATCATTGACGACAACGTCACCACCCTCGATCCCACACTTCCCTTCGGTTCAAACTTTGCCCAAGACGATTATATGCCTCTGCCTCCCCCAATGCGACCTACGACAAGCGACGGCTCGAGCTTCTACGATTTTCACAGCAATCGGATTGGCGGCAGCCAGGAGAGCCACGGCCAACTCACATATGGTTCCAGAGGCGGTTCGAATGGAGACCAGAACACGGGTGGAGCTGTGTCTACTGTTCCTACTGCAGAGACAACCCGATCATCGGGGGAAAGATCCTCGTCCAGAACCAGATCCAAAAGGAAAAAGTCTTCGAGGCGAGACATTCCATCTGTCAATAAGACTGTCAACAAAACCGAAAGCACTGAGATCTCCAGTACAAGGCCCCGTTTCACCACAAGATTTCTTTTGCTCATGGGTTGTTTGGTGATCCTCCTCCTCGTTGTGTGTGTTTCGGTAACGGTTGTTTACGCCAGGGCTGGAAATCTCAGGAGCAAGGAGGACCAAGAAAAGAATGGTGTCATTATGATTAGCGAAGATAGCGAAGACGAAGACGACGACGACGACGACGACGAGACTACAATGTTTCCCACGGTATCGCCTCCATCGAGTCCACCATTTAGCTCACCTCAATTGACACCCATGAATGCCTTTGTAGAAGCGTTACCAGAGTACACAAAAGAGTCCATCGGAGATCCAGAGTCGCCCCAATCAAAAGCTCTGCAATGGATGTCGACGTATGATAATGCTGAGACCTTTTCGATGGCTCGGAAACTGCAACGATTCGCCCTGATGACCCTAAACTTTTCGGTAGCGGGCGATGACCTGGCGTCTGCGACGTTGATGTTTTACACCGCCCTCAACGAATGCGACTGGTACAAGTCGACATGCGTCGATGGCATGTTCACCGAGCTGACGCTTGTATCAAAGAAGGCCACCTATGGAACGATCGTTCCCGAATTGGCACTCCTTTCTTCCCTGGAGCTTCTTGGATTGAACCAAAATTCTTTGGCTGGGACGATTCCAACGGAACTTGGCCTGATGACTTCTCTGAGAGAAATCAACATGAACGGCAATCGTTTCCGGGGCACGATACCGACAGAATTTGGCAGATTAACGAACCTCGAATACATCGACCTGGGCGACAATCTGCTCTCGGGGCCGATTCCCACCGAGATCGGATCCTGGAACAAGCTTTTGTACTTGAACGTAACCGGCAATGATTTGACCGGGGACATACCTTCTGAAATAGGACGAATTACCGATCTGGCGAGCATATCCCTATCGTTCAACAAACTAAAAGGTTCGCTGCCACCGGAATTCGGTTTGCTGGGCAAAATAAAGGTGTTCGACGTGGGGAAGAATTATTTGACCGGAGATTTCGTCTCGGCGGTAAAAAGCTCGAAGTTCACCCTGGAAACGCTGGACGTCGAGTCCAACAAGTTTTCCGGTTCCCTGCCCTCCGCCATCGGCGACCTCACGAAGCTGAGCCGGCTCGATGTATCGGCCAACGGGCTGACGGGAGTGCTCCCCCGCGAAATCGGCGGCCTGACGGACCTGGTCGCCCTCGACGTGAGCTCCAACGAGCTCCGGGGGACGATCCCGTCCGAGCTGGGAATGCTCACGAACGCGGGAAGCATGCTGCTCCAGTTCAACCTGTTTTCCGGAACGGTGCCCGAGGAGATCTGCGACCTGACCGATTCGCTGTTTACCAAGCTGGTGCAAGAAAACCTCGTCGTGGACTGCACGAACGAGTGCGACTGCTGCCAGTATCCCCCAAAGTGCTTCCTGTGACCAAAACCGCAAACGGGAGGACGGATGGTTCCCACGGGGTACTGCTACTAGTAGTAGTACTAGTACTGGCAGCAGCGAGCGGAACCACTGCCCTCTGCCAAAACCCAAACTACTTCATAAACTCAATGCACAACTATAGTACAGTATTTTTTACATACTACTTAAAAGAACTTGCTTCCGATCATTGGTAGTACGATTTCCCGACCTCGCCTGTTTGCGTTTGTGGTTTGTACGGCACACCGCATCCTACTTTACTGTACTTACCGGTACATCCTACAGAGTACAGAATTCTGTAAGTCGTACTCGTATCTACCGTAGGTACGTACGTACATACATATGGCACCGGTGTCGTGTGTCGTCGACCCCCCAATACCTACCGGTACGTACAAGTACCTTACTTGGTCCTTGGTACCACTTTTTTGCCGATCGAGACAACATCGGAAAACTGCCAAGCATCCGGCCAAACTACTTCTTCTTGCGTTGCTAGCACCAACATCATCAGCAACAGGCAGCCCCCTGTTGGTTCGTGACAGCAGAAGCGCATCGAACAAACCGCAAGCGGGCTACTCGCAACGCATCCATATCTCTTTCAATGGCGGTCCGGCAGCGCAGAAACAACCAGGCACGCCGGTGCCTCCGGGCGCTGCCGTTGCCCCTGCCGCTGCCGCTGCTCTTGCTACTGCCCCTGCTGCTGCCCCACAACGCGGCAAGAGCGGTTGCGGAGAAGTTCGACCCGTACATCGTCAACGGCGGCCTCGTCAGCGCCGTAGCCGGAAGAAACTTCGCCATCATCGCCTCCGACACCCGCATGATCGGCGAGGGGGGCTACGTCCTCCAATCCCGGAGCCACCTGTCGAACCGGCTGTGGTCGGTCGGAGGAGGCGGCAACGGCGACGACGAAAGGGGCCTCGTAGCGGGCATCGAGGAGTCCCTGCGAGGCAGCAGCGGCGACGGCTCCCGTTACCACCGGGCGGCGAGGGTGATCGAACTGGAGGACACCACCGTGGCAGAGGCTCCCGTCTGGATCGGGTCCTCCGGGTGCAGCACCGATTGCTCCCAGCTCCGAAAGGTGGTCCGCGCCGACGTTCGGGCGGCCTCGCACTTTGGACAGGTGTCCTTCTCCAGCCCCGAGAGCATCGCCAACCTCCTGGGGCAGACCCTGTACGGGAGGCGGGGCTTTCCCTACTACGCCTTTTGCGTCGCCAGCGGACTCGGGGACACCGAAACCGACCCCTGCGGCAGGGCGTACGTCTACGACGCGATCGGGTCGTACGAACGGGTCGCCGTGGCGGCGGCCGGGACGGGCCGCGAGCTCCTGCAGCCCGTCCTGGACCGCGCCTTTGGGGCGTCGTCGTCGTCGTCGTCCCCCGACCCGCGGAGGGTGGTCGACGGGACCCCCTCCGAAGCGATCGAGGCCCTCTGCTCGGCCTACCGATCGGTCTCGGAGCGGGAGATCGGCGTCGGAGACGCGCTGGTCCTGCACGTGTCGGAACGCAGGCCGAGCGGGGCCGTCCGCCGCCGCGTGTTCGTCGTCCCCCTGAAGGAGCACTGAGCGGGGCCGGGCCGGGCCGGGCCGGGTTGGACCCGGGACGGGGCGATATGGATCGCATCGCACCGCATCGCAACGGACTTGGTGGGGCCGGGCCGCCAAACATCGGACGCGCGGGATCGCGTCGCTGCGTGCACCGAATGGTTTGCAGGCAGCGGGATGCATCCAGAACGGATCCGCGGGCCGGAGAACCCGAGCGGAGCTCTTGTTCTGCTCCATCGATGCGTCTGTTCCGCGGCGACGTCGAACGCATGCCATGTCGAAACGACGGACCGACAGCCTTGCCCCGCCCCGCACCACGCGGCCACGGCGACCGCAACCATTCCGATCGAGCTGCGCTCGCGGATTGCGCCGGCAAGATGGGATTGGTCGCACGAGGGACAAAGCTCTACACGAGCGAGCTGCCGGAGGCAACAAGCGAATCCATTCTGTGCTTCCGTTCTGCAATCGTTGTCCGAAACAAAACGGCCAGGATTGCCGGAGCCCCGGCGACGGCACTGACCATTTTGTCTCGTAGTTCTCTCTGTGGGGCCCGGTACAAACCCCAATCACGAGTAGATAGCGAATAACAGCGAGTAAGCTCACTCTTTACCGAAGAGCCACCTAGCATCCCTCAATAAGGAGTATTTCGCAGGTTAAATCGCCAGCATCGCGACCATGGCTCAGCCGGCGTCATTTAGTAGTGCTCCTTCGAATACTTTTGCACCGATCTCTTACGCTCCTTGTATTCAATTCCCGCCATCGTTGTGTTAGCAGTGGTTGTTGGTTGTAGCACATTGCTTCTTCTTGATCGTCTAATACTATCTCCGGCAGACCGCTGCCAAGGCCATGGTAGGTATTTGTCGCACCAAACTGTTTGATGGCATCCTCCTTCAAATTTCTGACTTCTGAAAAGGGAAGATGCAAAATCAGTTATTCCAGTCCTATGACAAGAAATGTACCAATAACTGAAAAAAATCGGGCTGTCCCGAGTAAGGTGAGTCAAAAGATGGAGATCAGATGGGGTGGTGACACTTCTCTTTCAGGCATACTGAATTCAATTGCATGCATTGGCTATAGGTTGACTCTGTGCCATATCATCTCCTGAAACATGTTGTTGGTGGTAGTAGGGTGACAATTTAAAGAAACATTTCCGTCAATCAATGCTCTTCATTATTATGTTCCCGGGAGGATCCAGTGATGCATCCTACTGGTATGGTACCGTATGTAATGGCATATGAATCATATCCTATCCTATGATTGTGGGGTATGGGTATGGGACAAATGTACGAAGTTAGCTTTCGTATCCGTCTACTAGAATATTTTACGTACCGTATGCAACCCAATACGTACGTATCGGTACCGGTACCATAGCGGACGTACGAGCGATGTTGATACAGTCATTCAGAATTACTCGTTCAATGCTTTGATTCCACGCGGAACTCAACCACAGTTTTGATCGTCATTGTTTCTGTTCTCCCGGGCTATGGAATGCAAAGCGCGGTAAAAATGTATGACGAAACTTCACACGAAGCCAGTTTTAAAATCTCTACAAAGAAAAGTTGTTCTCTGCCTGCTGTAGGTACAATTATTACCGGTACCAGTACCTATTGTACGAAGTCGGTATTTACGGTGCTTCAACTCGTTCCGGTACCGTAGTTAGTGCTACGTACGATACTCGTAAGAGAGCGCATTTGTCGCATCGCAAGTCGTAAAAGAATGAGAATTTGTTGTTCAATCCCAAACCTGGCACGGCTCCCACGCAACGACGGCGCTCGCCCCCAGACAAGGCAAAACTTTAAAAATGCCGAGGTTTCTCGTGCCGTCGTAGACAGCGAGCTGCAACCAACACCTATCCAACAAAGAGCATTAGCCGGTATTGCACGGGACGACTCACCGGGCAGTACACAATCGAAGAGGTAGCGCTGGCGACACCGGATTGATTGATTGATTGATTGTGATTGATTTGCCCGCGCTTGCATTGACGAACACCGCAAACAGTCCATAGGGAAACGAAACGAAGCGAAACAAAGCGAAACAAAGCAAAGCAAAACAAACAAAGCTCCAGCACCATGCCCAAGCCGAAACAGAGAGAACTCGCGAGCATGGAGAACATCACCTCACCAGCACCATCGTTGTCGTCCCCCGAGGTTAAAAAGCGGAGTCGAAAACGGCGCATCCAATCCAGGGAAGAACGATCGCCGAGGAGCCGTTCCAAACCCAGATCGTCGAAGAAGGGCCGAAAAAGCCGCAAGGACGACCTCCCGCCCTCGTGCTTGTTCTCGCTGACGCCCAATGCCGTGGAACTGATGGCCATGGGAATCGACCTGTTCGATCGCAGACACGAAGGGCCGCCCGGGAAGCCTTCCAAATCCAATGCAAGCAAGGCTCAAGCGGAACGAGACCGGGTGGCGTCGGCCGAGAGCGCAAGCAGCGCAATCGACGGCAACAGCGCCCACAGCCGGCGAAACGAATTGGTTCTCAGGCTTCGGGTCGATCTGCCCCCACCCGTTCCCGAATCGGTGCCTGGAAAGGAGCAAACGCCCGTGGCAAAGAATCCCAACAGCGAGAACAACGGAGAACAAGCCGCCCTCTACGGCACTCTCGGAGACGGACGATCCACGATCCGTGCCATGGTCCTCAACCCGGACGGCATATGGTCCAAGCGGCTCGAACGAGACCAGGCGGCAGCGGGCATCGAAGGCAAGGAAGCATCGAGGAAGATCGATTGGATCGTCATGGTACACGGGTATGCTTCGACCGAGAAATTCTGGCACACCAAATACCAGATCTTCCCGGTCATTTGCCTGACGTCGATCTCGATCTTGCACACGTGTGCCCCGAAAAAGTCGTTTTCGCCACTGGGGAAACCGCTGTTTTCGAAAGGTGTTGGTCTCGCCACCAGTTTCAAGGCCCAGGCCGGCACCATCGGAACCTTTTTGAAGGAACGGGGACCATTTCTTACAAACGAAGAGCTTGCGGGATCTTCTAGAATACGAGACCCAAAGACCGAATCCTTGGCGGCAGTTGTTTCGAACGACGAGAACAACCCGGAAACAAGCGATGCTCTGCTCTCGTCGTTGAAAACCTCCGCGGACCAAAATTTCAAAAAGGTACACGACTGCCTGTCGCGGCACTCCGCTATGCTAACGTTGCAGCAGTCCTCGTCGGTGGAGCCACTGCCGTCGGCTTTGGTTCTGTCTGGAACGTCAATGCCGGGCCAAAGCTCTTCCACGGACAATGAGGATTCTTCTTCTGACCCACCCGTTCCGAGCGACAGCCCGTCGAAGACGAGACAGCCCACGCAACACGCATGGGAACTCTACAATGGGACCCTTCGAGAATTCCGAACCTCGCAAATGGACCGCCAAAAGGCTTCGCTTGGGACCAACACCGGACGAGAATCGGCAGAGCGGGCGGAGCTGGTGGTGACACAGCACAATGCAGCCCTCGAACTCGCCCTGAAGGAAGAAGGGCCCCTGTCCGTCGAATTGTTGGTAAGTCCTGGCGTCGAAGAACGAACAGATACCGCTTTGGCTCTCTGGAGGTTTGGGTTTTTTACTGACTGTCTTTGTGTTCCCATTGTTCTTGTTTGTCCTAGGTAAAATGGCACAAAGAACTGCTCAGGGGATTGCATCCAGAGGCTGGTGAGTGCGATGATGGATATTTCTATCTGTCGATGGATCGCCTGTTGTATCGTTGAAAACGATGTAAATCATCTAACAGAATTCTGTGCTTTATTGATACCAACTGATGGAATTTGAATCTTTTGCCCTGCATATTATTTTTGGATTTTCCAGGGGAAATTCGGACCCGAACTGTCCGATGCGGGCATACTGTATTTTGTCCTCCCAAACAAATCGAAAACCAATTGGGTGAGTGTTCGTGGTACTTATTCAAACCGAACGAGGTTTGTCAGAGATCCTTCGGAGAAAGAATACATTGCTCGAACTTTTTTCTAATCTTCGTTGACCACCTCTGTTGTTTTTCTTAGAACTTTACTGTGCCGGTTTGAAGTCGCTGGAGTTGCGTTTGGATATGGCCAACAACGCACTTCACGTGGTGCTGTTTGCGGCTGTAGCAATGTTCGGCATTGTTGATATTCATCCATTCATTGATGGAAACGGTCGTCTATCACGCATCGTCGCAAACTATGCTCTGAAGTGGGTTCCGTTTCCCATCAATTTATTTGCTACACCGGCACAAAGAAACGAGTATGTCGTTGCGATAGAACGCACACGGCATGTTTTGTCTGCGAACTGTAGTTTCGGAGATGTGTCGCGAGACGACTTGGTACAAGTCATTAAATACACGGGTGTCTTTGGGGCTCTGGTAGAACTGTTGATGGATCGGGTGGCGAGGGCTGGTACCACTCTAGCAGCACTTTGGGAAGAAAAATCTGGTTTGGCGGCCGAGGCCGCCGAAGCAAAAGCGGCTCGCAGGGTTAGAGAAAGGGCCTCGAGGGGAACGTGCATGATCTGTCTCGATGAAAAACCGAACATTGCTACTCTTTGCTGTGGGAACGCAATCCATCTCAATTGTTGCGCCGAGTGGCTGAGTGGCAACAACCGATGTCCTATATGCAGACACGAAATGCCATCGATCAGTGGCCGTGTTGTCCGTGCAATGGAAGAGCCAAGAGAACGATACGAAGAAGAAAACGAAGATGGTGATACCGATGGGACCGGTGGACAGAACCCAGAAATATTTGAACGAGATTATCAGAATGTTGTAGAAAGATTTTGGACCGAAGTGAGGCAGGGCAGTCGCACAAACCGTGCCAATCGTAGCAATCCTTCGTTCTTGGAATTCTTTGACAGCACGACAACTCTTCCCGAAGACACGGGAGTTAGGCTCAGATTCAACGACGAGTCGTCGGGTTCTAGTGAATCTGATAGCGACGACGACGTTGTCTCATTGCATCGATTGCGCAACAATGCCAGGACGAGAGCTAGAGGCAACAATATGGGAAACCGCTCAACCGTGAATCCCGACATCCAAAACATAGATGAAACCACCACGGACAGCTCGGAAAGCATCGACCAAGGCGGGGAACACGATGCCACCACGACAATCGTTGGAGAGGAGGATGCCGAGACCGAAGACAATTTGGACACGACGACTACGACCGTGAACGAAAGCGAATCAAACACCACAACTACGACCGACGATAGCGATTCGCATTCTCAAGAACCTCGTCGGCACGAGATGTCCATGATTTGTGCGTCTTCATCGTGTCGCAACCGCCCGGCGTTGGGGTGCACAAACAACCTTTGTGGGAGATGCTGCGTGCTTATTGGAAATTGGCATTGCCCAAGACATAATTCTTGAGTCGCTGCACAACCTGATCAGCTACATTCTACCGTTCTAAGTCACATGCTAGCATCTCTGCTGTCGATGCAAATTGTTGCGTAGTAATCCAACACCAAAGTTTTGAAAATCCGGAAATGTAGTTTTTATTTTTAATGTTTATGTCTATTTCATAGCATGATAACGATAGTGTAGATTTTGCAACTTCTCAACCTACCTTTCTCAAAGATCGTAGACTATTATCCCACCTGTGCAGAATGACCATTGGCTTTTTGCGCAAATGAAATTACTGGGAATCGTGGGGATCGAAAACCATACCGCCAGGACCAAACAAGATTTCTCACTGGTTGGCGCTTCGATTGCGTTCATATCGTGACAGAGTCGTTATCGGGAACGGGGTCGTTCGGTTGTGCGGGAGTAACATCGCATCGCATGTCTGCAAAGGCGTTTGTCAGGCTCCCCTCGATGATGCTCGACACCAATTGGTTTGCATCATGTGACGAATCGCCGTCACCGACACGCAGGTATCGAGGGTCGGCGGGTAGTGCAAACTCCAAAGAACCGTTTCCCTCGCCGTCACGCAAGAACCGCAACCGTTCCTGACCCACCATTGAATCGCTGGATTCGCGGTGCAAGTACGTTCTTCTGCTTCTTCGGCTTTCGAGGGCCTGGGCGTTGCCCAATAGTTCTGGATCCAGAAAGGACATTCGAAAACGATGCAAGTGTTCCTGGTCTCCCAGAGATGACTGTTCGTCGTCGCTGCAGGAATAATGTTCACTATTTTCTGTGCCATCATCGGACAATTCGGGCTCACTATTTGCCGCGCTGTCGTCGCACAATTCGAGACGCCCACTTCTGGCAAAGCTCAAGGCAGTGCTCTCGGACTCCCACCCACTATCGTTGTCTGCACTGTTGCCCCGAGTCAACTCAAAATGTGTCGAGTAATTCGCTGAATGATTTGAATCAAAAGAGTACTGTCCATCGCCATCGTCGTTATTCCCTGATTGTGAAATATCTGCGCTATCGTCGGTATCGTCAGTGACATAATTGTGCTGACTTTCATCTTCATCACTTGTGACATAGTTTAAGCCCGTTTGGATCTGGCTTGGAACTGGTGAATCGATTCTGTAGGGCAATAGATTTCTGATACTGTTCGTGCTCTCGTTTTCAACAGGGCTGTTGGCACTGCTCGTATCGTTTACACCATAGTCTAGACCGCTGTAGAAGAAGGCCGATTCAGTGGAAGAAGAGGATGAGGACGACGAAGAGGAGCTAGACGATGATGAAGATGAGCTCGATGAAGAGTGAGCATACAAAAATTCTTCGCTCAGAAAATTTCTGAGATAACTACGGTCCTGACCATATTCCACCACTGGATTCTCTCTTGCTGGTTGAGAAAACCTTCTTGTAGAAAGGGACGGAATATCCGATCGGCACTGAGGGCACGAAGAATTAGAGGTGAGCCATTCTGCCATGCAATTGAAATGAACCGGCTTTCCGCAACACATGGTTACGATATTTGGGTTCTCGTCAAAGCAGATAATACAAGTCCCCTTAGCGGCCTTTTCTCGGGCCAATCGAACCAAACGAGCATTAGTTTCTTCCGACGCCATGCTGTTTTTTTTTTCAACCAATCTGCAAAGATCAATTGCAGAGGAAGCAATACAGTTTACAAGGAAACCAACAAGAGGAGCAAGGCCACCAGTAGAGAGTAATATCCGTGTCATTATGTCAGCATCAACAAGTCCTAGAGGCACGAGAGATAAATTCCGTCTCGTCGATTCAATCAAAGAGTAGTAATCCAATTTCTGCTTTTCATTGGAATAGGTGATCACAGAAAAGGGCAAACCAGCCCGCCGAAGGCTCCAGCAGAAAAGGATCCTTGCGAGTAGCTGATTCCCGGCCTCAAATGGACGCATGTCCAAGAAACCGAGCTTCACAGCGGCGGCAAATGTCGCAATCCGAACGGCATTGGTTGGGTCCTGCCTCACTCTCGGCAACCAATGGTCTTCCATGGATGCACAAAAGGCTCCGACGCGTACTGAGATTTTCTCGGATCGAAACGCTCCTGCTTCTTGCTCTAGCCCATCCCCCAGGAGCCAAGCATGCCAGCGCAACAGCAACTCCGGGGAGAGCCGCTCCTCCGTGCATTGCAATGCATATTCCATGGTTTCTTTGTTCTGGATCCGTTTCTGCTCTCTGCGGGTGTCGCTTGCCGTCTCTTCTGGATCCACAGAGCCGTCAACAAAAGATTCCTCCGTCGTGTCGTTCAGGGAGGTGAATAGATTCTCGCGCTGCCCCTGGTCAAATTCGTTCAGAGCTGAATAATAGTTTTGGAAGCATTTCTGCGATCCCAGCATGAGGCTGAAAGAGGAAGACGCCATCAACGACGCATCTTCTTTCCTGCTCTTGAGTGTCGTGATGGCGAAATGCTGTTCCATAAAATTTCTTACTTCAAGGGCATTTTCGTTTATTTTCTTGAGCATTGCTGCTTCTTGACAAAGATGGTCGTGACGGTTATGGTAGCTGTGGCATATTAGTTTACCCTTGTCTTCGCCGATCAAGACGTCCGTACCGAGTTTTCTCGATGCTAATAAACCAGCAAGTATTCCTTCTTTTTGGAGTTCGCACGTTTGTGAACGAATCTGCTCCGTGAATTGGATATCATTGATGCTATCATCATCGTCATGGCTCTGATTCTTTGATCGCTTCTCGTAAAGAACCTCATAGCGCGTGATGTAAATATAGGGAGAAGTTTGCCGTTTGTTTCCATCCAAGGAATTTAATGAACAACAAGATACTGGTTTTGGTTTCCTCTTGCCGCCGCTCGCAACGGTGCAGTTGTCATCGCAATCACATTTTCTATCGCCTCTTGCAGTATCTGGAGACAAAGGCTGACACTCGAGGGAAGCCGCACAATGTACTCCAAGGACAAATCCAGAGATGGAAAGGACACACTCCGACAAGTCTTCTAGTTGGCCTTCCTTAGTTTGCCAGATAGCTCCGGAACACCAATTGGTACCATCCGAAATGGACGCAGAAAACATCCCCGACTCTATCTCCCCTATACGTTTGTGATCCATCTGAGCGTCGTCATCTCTGGGATCTGGTTGGGGGGCGGTCTGTGGCCGAAGATCGCGCAGCCACAACACCAGGGGACCGGCTGCAAGCGGGGCGGCAGAGGAGAGGAGTCCCTCCCCGTTTTCGCACTCGCAATTCTTAGTTGCTTGTTCGGCAACCCATATCGTTCCCTCGTCTACCATATCTTGAATGGCATTTGTCGTCAACGAGATCTCAAAGTAGCCATAGTTGTCTTCGTCGGTGGTGTGTGTTGCTGCTGGTGTGTCGTTCTTCTCTTCGAGAGGATAATCGTCGTTGTGCATCCATTCTTCTTTTTCCAAAACGTCCGAACTTTCTTCTCCACTGCAACCATCATCTTCTGTTCGTTGGCCTAGATATTCTTCGATGAGGTGTTCAACATTTTTCTTTCGTCTTGTTGTGGTTGATATTGTTCTAGCAGTATCTGGTGGCAAAGTATTGGGACAAGCCCAAAGAGCTCGGTTCGCTCGAAACCAAGTCATGCTTTTGTATTTGTTCGTATTTTTCTTGACTGGTCAGCAGAACAGTTCGATCAACGATTCATTTCTCTATTCTGAAGGAAGTAATCGATCGTCTTCCATGTCCTTTGGTGTCTTTGTAGGTATTCGGTGAGTTGCCTCTGATGCTTTCATTGCTGAATCTGTAACAAGCCCAAACAGAGACCTACAACAGAACAAAGAACAACGACGACAAAGGGTTTTGAGAGTAGAGCGAACATGGAGTACATTACCAGATTACTAAGTAGAATTACCCCGTAGGAATTACTCTTCCTTTTCTGGTATTAATTATCAAAAACGCAAAACGTGTGACTTTTATCAGACGCAAGGCATAATTAAGCCTAGAGTCAACCTTACGTACATTACTAAGGAGAGTACTACTTCGTAGTACTTCAGTTAAGTACTCGTACTTCTACTTCATACTCACTAGAGGCCCTAGTAGTTAAAAGCGATAAAGCGAGCGTGAGATCTGCATAAGGGTAGCGTAGAGGAACTACTGAAAAAAGAAAAAAGGAGACTTGAAAACGACTGCATGTCCAAAAGCTACTGGAAGAAAACTACTAAGAGGCAGGGGAACTAGGATGTTCCGCCCCAAAGGTCAAGAGGAGAAGCCCAAAGGGAACCTGGAGGTTGGAACCCACCAGGAACTGGAATCACGCCTACCAGGTGTAGACCCGTACAACAATCTGAGGAGAGATCCATTCAACTCGAGTGTTCTTGAATTTCAGCCTGGTGTCCCGGGTGCCATGCAAGCATCTACTAGTGGCCAGTGCTAAGGCAAAAGCCAAGCACGAGCGCACTTTGTGACATACATGTGACTTGTGCTGTGCCAATTTCTTGGCAAGCAGCGTAGCCAAAGCAATTCGAGCACTTTTGACTTCAGGACCTTCCATTCCGTCGATAGAGTAAACCAAAGGGGTAAAATGACGGTGTGCCTCGCAACACGGCGCATTGTACTTATCCYTCTTCTCTTTCTCCTAAGCATGGAGAACGTCAATTGGTTGCCTGTGTTGGTGTGACCTTGCATCAGTATCAGTGATGCGAATGTCAAATATAGCAGTTGTACCATGCTGCCAGAATCTGTGGACTCCCAGCACATTGCCCCGAAGAGTGGGCAGTGGCGGTGCTCCAGCTGGTGCTCTGTCACCTGGCGCTGGCTGATATACTGGGATTTGTGGTTCATCAGTAACAGCGCTAGTAGGCTGGAGAGCCTCAGCACAGAACTGATGCCATTTGCCTGCAACATCATTATGGCGATGTATAGTCAGCCCTCCTTTTGGACAGCTGAGTGCGTGGCGCACGGAAAAAGCTCTAACACTTCTTTTGCACCAGGGTAGAAGCAAGGACGGCTCAGCACAGAGGAAAATCGATTCTCCTAAGTACTGTTCTTCTTGCTTCCTCACTCAAGCCAGGGAACAGATTGATTGGATAGCTGTAAGACAACCTTGTAAATTTGCTCGGAAGAGACAATGGTATCATTAGGTTGGATGATGCTCAAGGAACTGCTGCAATTCATCAACAATAGCTACTTACCATGAAGGTGATTCTGAAAGGAAAGGAGTGGGCTGCTGAGCAGTTGTGGCAATTCTGTTCATTTATAACACTGCTTCTGTCTCATTTTTCCCTGGAAATGAAATCTCTAAAGCTTGTGCTAAAATGATACATGCATAAGAAGGGTACCTTATGATAGGTATGTAGGAATGGTATGCTCCTTCATTCCTTTCTTCCAAGCTTCGTATCGTACGTATGCTTCCTTTCAATACGTACGCATCCTAGTATCCGGTACGTACGTATCCTATCCAGTACGTACGTATCCATTGCA